GTTTTCCAATTGAGAATGGGATCAACTCGTCGACCTCAAAAATGAAGTTTTAAGCTTTTTTTTTTCAATGAAAATACCTTTTTCAATTGTCCGTTATCTTCAATGAACCGCTTCGGATTGAACTTATGCGGTTCTGGGAACACCTGGAACAGGAAAAAGGTTGCAAAAAGCTGTATTTTTGAGAAAACTCGAGGATGAACTCTAATTTCTCTGTTGCTCTGGGTACTCCAAAATTTCCATGTGTTTCAATCCTCACTTCAATAATTTGAATTTCGAAATTCCTATATGTCTGAATATTTCTATTTTCTCTATGTTCTCTAGGTTCTACAAGAAACGCTAGAGAAAAACCGGAAACATCAAATTTTTATCCTACACGTCTTTTTGTGAAAATCTTTGCACCATGAAGTATGTTTCCATACTTTTCTCTATCCTTACTCTACTCATATTTGATACTTCAAACTAAAACATATTTTCTTTACTGACCTTTTCGTCGAACATAACAGTACTAAGTTGTGCCAAAACTCCAGTTCCTTTGGGAATTTCGTAGCCGTTCAAAACGACATTTCTCGTTAGGACATGAGGAAGGTTGACTGGAAGCAAATTGGCGCTTCTTTGAGTCTCCTTAAATTATTTTTCCGATTTTAGTTTTTTTTTCTTATTATTCAACTAACATTGATAAAAGCGTTCATATAAACGAGATCATTTTTGTCGGACATGATAATTTCCCTGTCGCTTCCAATCACACGCGCCAGTTCTTCATGGATTTCTTCCTGAAAAATAAAGAAATTAATCGATTTTAAAACATGATAAAATGATTCAATTTTTACCTGAACTTCGGGATTATTTAAAAGAAAAAGCAATGGCCCAGGTCAAAGTGTTGGAAGTCGTTTCAAGTCCGGCAAACCAAAGATCCAAAAGAATGTTCATCAAGTTTTCATTACTGAAAAATGACTGCAATTTGATAGATCAACGTGGTTTTTTCAATGAAAACTCAGTTTTTTGAGCATTTTAATAACAAAAATCTAGGTAAAAAAACGACAGGAATCTTTTGGAAATTGAATTTAAAGGCCCAGAAGATGGATTCTAAAACTTAAAAATAACCTCGGAGAAGTACTGAGTAGCTTAACTAGACGTTCAATGAGAAATTTTTAACTTTTACAGTTTTCCTAACCTGAAAATCTCCTTCTCGCCAACCGGAGCCTTTCTCTTTCTCTGCTCTTTCAAATAAGCTTCAACGTAATCTTTGCTCTCGTCTTGCTCAAAATCAATCTCTTTCTTGTGTTCATCGACCTGCCGTTGGAAAAATGCCCAAAACTGGTCTCGATTATTGATGAGCCTGTAAAAATGTCGATCATCCTCTTCAGAGTGTTTAAACTAACAAATCTCTGAACTCCTTTCCAATCGAAATATACTTGGTCCAGGAAAAGCTCAATGCGAAAGCGGCTTTTGGCTCACTAGCCTTCTTCATTTGAAGCGCTACCAACGCTTTCAATTGCCGAAATTCTGGTAATCTTTCCTTCAAAAAAAAATGTTGAATGAATCCCCAAGTTTTCCTGTACCTCATCGAATCGATAACCGAAGAGAAACTGGTTGATCACACTGCCAACGGCAATGTCGAACATTTCCTGTCAAAAAAATGTTCATTCCTTGCTGATTTTTTTAAACTATATTTTTTCGAGTTAAAAAAATTTTAAGGTCGTTCAAAAACAGCTTATAAGATCTCTAATGTTTAGTTCTATCAAAAACTATGAAGTAAAACTGCCAAAAAAAACGACTCGAGTCTTTTTCATTCTCCTTATAAACTGATATCTAGATTGTTTGGACCCGAAATTTCAGAAAAAAATCTAACGATTTTCCATATTTTTTTCGGATACCTGAACTTTGACCTCGTCGCCGTGACGATTGTCAATGTCTTTTGCGAGGAACGACATTTCCAATAAAATCTTAAAATTTTCAACTTAGAGTATCATTTTTAGGATTCTTTCACTTTTGACTGCATCAAATCTCTTCCGACGCCGAAATCTCTCAACTGATGCATAATGAACCTTCGATGTTCCCTCCAAGTATCGCCAGTCGTGTCGATAACGCCATATACTCCTCCTGGTTCGTTCATTTTTGATCAAAAAGCATTAAATTTTTTGAATTTCTTCATGAAACTCTACGAAGAATTCTTCGTTCTAGAACATGTTTCTCCAATTCTCAAGTTCGATTTGTACTTTTACAACTGGCCAAAAATTATTATCATCAGCAAGCAAAATAAAATCACTGATATGGCTAATGATAACCGCTTTTTAGTGTCAATCTTCTTTCTTATCAGTTGATAATTATACGAAGAGAATGGATTCGGAACGTAAACAAGTGTAGTGAAACACAGTTATTGAAAAAAAAACTTGTGTTGTTAAAAATTGATTTGAATGGCACTTCTTTTTTTATACATTCGAATGATGGGAGATTCTTTGAAAATTTTAAAAAAACTCAAAAACGAAAAATGCCGTACTTTGAATGTAAACTTCAAATGTTGTAAAAAGGTTCAAATTTGCAACTCCGAAATCCACTTCAAAAAAATTTATATCAAAGTTACTTCACAAAAGCTTTCTAAGAAACTTGAAAAGGTCTGAAATCGTTGTGAAAAGCTGAAAATCTGCTGTGACTCAACTAGAAGTTCTCTAACATTTCCAAAAATTTTCCAACCTCGAAAAAGGTCCGTCGTTTCTTCCACAACGAATTTGCCGGTATAAGTGTCCGGATCTTTGATAAAAGTCTCCTTCAGACGTTCGTACTCGGAAATTACGATAAATGGAAATGGACCTTAAAATAAAAGCATTATAAAACTTTTTTAAAATACTTTTCAGACCCATCCAATAGGTGAAAATTGGTCCATATTGCTTGCGCCAATTGGTGAAAGCCTGGTAGCCAGGGTTCATTTCTGGCGACCTCAATGAGGTTGCCAATGAAAGGGATTGGAGTTGGACCTGAATTTTTTTAATAATTTTTTTAAACTCCAGCTCAGAAAAATATTTAATTGATTAGTTGAAAAAGCTCAACTGTTGAAAAATTGCACTCTAGACTCCAGACCGAAAAAGTGAGAACTTGAAATTTCAAAAAAAATTTTCTCCCCTTGTAGTCTGTCTTTATTTGCTCACTTTTTCCTTTGTATTTTTGAAATTTTTTTCTCACTTTTCTGAAAAATTTTCCCAAAAGAACGTTTGGAAGTTTTTTTGAGGGCGACCCCCAACAGAAAACTCTATTTGAACAGTTACCGACGCAAAGAAATATATTTTGTGAAAGAAGAGAAAAAAAGTAGAAAAACAAACACTAATGCTCCTTCCAGTTTTCGTTTCCAATCAAAAAATTAGGGAAGCGGAACGACATAGAAAACTTTCTTGGCAAAAAAATAAAGGCTGCAGGGAAATTGATATTAAAGATTTCAAAGACTAAAAAAACTGAAATTTTTGAAATAAAGAAAATACTTTACTAGGTTGAAAAAAATATTTTCATAAAAAAATCAGTTGATTAGTGTTTCTTTTTTTCTTTTTTTTAATTTAGTCATCACGTAATTTCAAAAACAAGAGTAGCTTTCTTCAAAACGACTGTTTTTTCCGGATTTAAAAGTCCAATATGAATATCTCGAAAAGGGAGAAAAGAAAATTACTTACCTGGCGGCAAGTTCCTTCGTTTCCAGTACAAGTGGTGAAACAAGAACAGGGCGAAGAAGGTTGAGAGAAGTAGAAAAAGCATGAAAAGTCAGCGATGGGAAAAGATAGTGACTGGGAAACGATTCTGTCCACTGGCGAGAAAAAAAAAACGAAGTTGGTGGGCGGTATAACGGAGAAAAGGCTCTTTGGCGGAACAACTTTGGCTTGAAGAAGCAATCAACGATCAGACAAGGTCAACTAACAAGATAAGAGCCAACTGATAAAATTCTTAACCTAAGAAAAAATATTCATCATAAAAGATATAGAACAAGATGTAGACTCTGCAAAATTCAAAATGCCGTCCGAAAGTGAAGCGCCGGTAATTATCACCCATTATATGTGAACACTTCGCAATAGGGCGCACTTGGTTTCACGCATATTTCGAGGAAATCCAAATTATTTCTATATCACCTCGGTTTTTTTCTGAGTTTTTTTCATTTGTTTTTTTATGATTTATAATTAAATTACAGGAGGGTAAATCCACTTCATGAACTTTGAAATAAAAAAATTTTTGTGGCACGTGCTTCAGCTCGAAGATGTCGTAGCAAACGAATTTTTTTGCGGCACCTAGATGATCGAGATCAATTTTTGCCACAAGTTTCGAGCAGAGAGCCTCAAAATGGCTCGAAAAAAACTGGTGTGTACTTTTTACAGGGCTTACACTGAACTTTCACACAAAAATTTGGAGTAAACTGGATAGCAGTCAAAAAAAGCAAGACCCCGTTTTTATATGTTTAAAATAGGTAAACTGTTTGAAAAAAATCGAGCGAACATTCTATTGAACGTTAAAATTGAACGTTAACATTGACGGCTTATTACTCGCAATTTGCTCAGCCGACCTTGTCGAAATTCGATGATCGCGGCAAGAAACAGAAGCCTATTGAGGAGGTATGGTCAGAACTGAGCACATCAGCGAAAGTCCATCAAAGTATCAAATTAAAACGATGTTCTCGAGCGGGTCTCGCGTTTTTTCTCAGCGCTATCTCGCACTTCATTGAGAATTTTTTCGACTTTGGGAATTTTTTACGCGAACGGTATCTCCTTTCCTTGCGTCGCAGTAAGTATTCCCCACCCTGTAATATGATTATAAATCATAAAAACAAATGAAAAACTCAGAAAAAGAGAGGTGAGATAGAAATGATTCGGATTTCCTCGAAATATGCGTAAGACCAAGTGCGCCCTATTGCGAAGTGTTCACATATAATGGGTGATAATTACCGGCGCTTCCGAAAGTGAAAAAGTTGCGAACAAATTGGAAAATTAGATAATTTTGAATATCGCAGAAATTATTTCGAACACGGCAAGGTCTAATTAGACTAAAAGAGGGTTAAAAAATTTCGGCGTTCTCTAAATTGACCTTTTAGGAACACGCCCAATTGGCATTCAAGAACGCCGTTTGAAAAATTGGGTACTACAACTAGAGGCCAACTTCTCTTAAAAATACTAGATTATGTACTATTTCTGAAAAAAAAAACAAAATACGCCAAACAACACAAAGCCGGTTCGAAAAGATGAACATTCCTATAGGAAATTATGTCTTTGGACTAACTATATCGATCAAAATGGCAGTAATGATACGTACTCGGTAATTTTGAAATCAGAAAAATCTCTAGACATTTAAAAAATGCAAAATAAGAATTTTTGAAATGAGCTTTTCTAGCGAGAACGAGAGTTCAAAATTCTGTTTTAAAATGTCGAAAGTCGTCATCCCGCTGTAGTACCGAGTTTTTTTCTAAGTCCTTTCGAAATACCGACGCCGTGTATTTCGTGAAACTTTTTAACGAGTAAAGTATCAATTTTTGAAATAAGCTAAAAATAATTTTTTTACATTGCATGAATCCTGAATATTCGAATATTCATCTGAAATTTTCGGGAGAATTTTCATATTACTGTAGACACGTTTTCTGCAACCAAAGTTTGCAAACACGCGACGCGCAAGATTGAATTCAAATTTTATATAAATTCATACTTTAGTTTTTTCCTCCCTTTTTCGGGTTGTTTGTCGTGTTTTCTTTAGAAAATTTTTTATGATGCTGTGGTTTTATTATAGAACTTTAGGAACGCTTATTAAAATATCAGTTTTCGCAAGTTCAATGCGTTTTCCCTCTTTCATTTTTTTAAATTCTACTTTCAGAAAATGTCGCTCAACTTGCTTGCCGCATATGGCAGTGATGAAGATGCCAGTGGGGACGAAGAAGATTTTTTCTCGAAACCTGCTGTAAAAGAAGAAGAAGATAAAGAAGAAAAAGAAGCAGATACGGAACAAAAAGCAGAATGTTCAAAAGAAGCTGTAAGCTTTGAATCATTTGTTGGATTATTATGCGACATCTTTTGAGGAGCCTTCGAAATCGTTTTTCTTCTCTGGTGAAGACAGAAATGAACCCTGTAGTAGCGACTCCGAAGAGGAAGGTCAAGGAAATCAGCCAAGTAAGACATTTTGAATTAAATTTTTTGATATGACAATTTCAGACAAAACAACCAGAAAACGCAAAAGCCAGTCAGCTGTAAATCTCCCGACGGACTTTGTTAGTGGTTTTCGTTATCTTTTATTTTTTTAAAGATGAAAATATGAATTTTTTCAGAAAAGCTCGATTTTCGACAATGATTACTCGCGAGAAGAGCGTTTGAATGTACAAATGTTGAGCCAACACGTCGAACTATGCGATAAGCCGAGTGTGAATCACAGAAGATCCAAGCAAACTTGCAGGTTTGTTGGAAATTTCAACTATTCAACGATTTGAATGATATTTTCAAAGCTTGTACATACTTTTTTTCTGTATTCGAAATGTAGATTATGTATAGATTTTTTTCTGAGAAAAAGTCTTTACGATAACAGATTTTTGACTAATATCTGTTTCCATCTTAATAAATTGAAATTCTTACATTTTGAAATTTGCTTGAAAAACTAAATTTTCATTTGCCGAAAATCAGTTTTAAATATTATTGGATGATAGTTTCTTTTTATTTAACCAGTTCGCTTAAAAATTATAATCCGTATAAAAAAGTTGCAGAAATCACAATCATTTTAGTTTTTCGTTACTTTTTTCCTTACGAGGAAGGAAAATTCCATTTTTTTCGATTTTGAAGCTGTTGAGAATTTGCTCGAATAGTCGCAAATATATCAGTTGAAGATACTGGACGCGGAAAATTACAAAAAAATTTAGTTTTTTTGAAAAAAAGATACTTCAAAATTTTGCAACTTTAATATTTTTTTAATTTTTCTTGTAAAATGTCAGAAATGCAACTTTCAAGGCATGAACTGTTGAAAAAAAGTTCTGTGCAGTATCCAATTTTCAAGACCTTCACCTGTTTTTTTGAAAATTATTTGAGACAAAGGAGTTTTTTCATTGTTAATATACCATGACGATTATCCCTTTTCAGAGCCTACCTAAAAGGCAAATGTCGATTCGGGGACAAATGCCGGTTCAGTCACCCGAAGCACGACCGAAATGACGTCGACGTGAACGCCGTGAGCACGACGGCCAAGCCGCAAATGTACGACGACAGTAACAGTGAAGTCACGAAAATATTCCAGTCCAAGAGGTTCAAAGCGTCTTGACCTTCTTCCGTGTTTGTAATGTTTTCCACCTAAAGCTTCAGATTTTGATCAATAACCAGATTCTGTAAGTATTTTTAATTTTTGAAAATCTGTGATTTCCTGTTTATTTTTGAAAATCACCCTTGAAACTTCACAATTTGCTAGAGAATATTTGTGTTGCGAATCGAACAACTTCGGGTTTTTCTGAATTTCTTCCACCTCAAATAATATGAACCTTCAAGAATAAACTTTATTGAATCAAAGTGAAAATAGAAATTCAAAAAAAAATACGAGAATACCCAAGTGAAAAAGAGAAAGGTTTGATAATCAACAACGAATGTTCAAATATAGGGAAAGTATCACAATTATAAGTGTGGAAAGAAAGAAAAATTGGGGAAAATTGGTGTTTTTTCTCAAAATGGACGATTCGAGACCCTGAGCTTTTTTTTGGTGCCTTTTTTTTAAACTTTAAAGAGGCTTCACAATCTTAAAAATGGAATTATTTTGGCTGTGGAACTTGATATCTTGAATAGGTAGTCCAGTAGATGATATTGAAGCAGGCGAAAAAGAAACGGGAACAGAACTCCTGAAAAAAAATATTACGTTTTTTTAAATTTGATAATCAATTTTTGATAGTTCAGATTGAAATATTTAGAAAAAAAAATTTTTAATTTTGAAGATTATAACTGTTTTTCGCAAAGGTTTTCGAAATTTATCGATTTAATTCTATGATAAAATAAAAATCATACTCGAAACCAAATCGGCCCGTTTTTCCATTGTCCTGGTCGTCCATCTTCCGATGGGCCCACTTGTAAAAATATCGAACTTCGTAGGAAGTTCGTACATCTCGTTGTTCTGAAAGTAAGAGATCAATTGAAGTAAAAAAAAAAATTATATCGTGATTCTGAAAAAAAGATGTATTTGAAAAAAAAAAAGTAAACTCTGAAAATGAGTTTCAATAAACTAACTTTACTCAATGTATTCTTGATGATGCCAAGATTGTATCAAAAGAAAAATCGAAATAGATTTTCAAGGGATTGAAGTCCAAGGTGGTCCCTACAGGGGTTAGAGTAAAACAGGCCCTATAGGGACCACTCTGAGGTTCCTAAGCAGCTCAAAGTGATACTTGAAGAAGTGGCCCCTTCAAGAATTTTCAAAATGAAAATAATAACAATATATCACCTTTTCACCTCCCTCGGTCCAAAAACAATAAGTTCGGCCTGCTCGCCAATATCTCGATTTCCATTAGTTCCTCGTCGGATCCAGACTTCTGGATCGTCCGATGGAGCGCGAATGTCGTCCTAAATTTTTTAGTGGGGTTAATTCTCGATTTATTATCGAGAAATTACCAAAACGGCATCGTTGAACTTGGTGACGGTGGTGTTTGGGATGATGATCGCCTGTTTCGTGCCAATCATCAGTGCGTTTTTGGACGGATCAAGCATTTTACTACCTGGAAATTATTAGAATAGCTGCTTTTTCGTTTTTCAAGTTAAAAATTTTGTTTTTAGAGCGAAGTTTCTGTGGTTACTTTTTTTTTAGTCATTTCGAAGGCAAAATAATGTTTTTTCTCATGTTTTCAATAAAATATGAAATTTTTGTTCTCAGAGCACACTTTCCATGGTTATCCGGGCTGCAAAGACGGAGCTTAAATTTTGATTTCCCAAATTCTTGATCTCCAAAAATCGGGAACGTTCCTTGAGGCTTGTCAAAAATTTTGAAGGAAATGTGATTTTGAAGAAATAATTTTTTGCAAATCCTGTGAAAAAAAAACCAACTTTTATAAAAACTCCTCGACGATATGTAGGTAACCCAGGCGAATTCCAGCAAAGCCCCGAAAATGAACATCATACAGGCGCCGATCCAGACATCGATCGCTTTTGTGTAGGAAACGGGTGGAAGTTTCGCATTTATACCAGAAGCCTGAAATTCATTCACTTTGTCCTTAATATACAAATTAACTTGTAAGAAAAATCAGTAAAGTCTGAAATAAACTGATCAATAGAAAAAAAGAAAGCTTTCAGCCGAATTCAAAAAAATTGTCATAATTATCACGTTTTTTTCGACTGCTTTTTATATACTCAATTTTTTTAACTGAACTTTGTTAAACAATTCATATACACTATATCGTTTTTCTGATATACGAAAAAAATTATTATAGAATGATTATTGATGAAAAATTACTCAAAAAAAAATTATATCAAAATTTTTGATAAATTTAACGTTTTTTTGCGACGTTTTTTTCTTGTATCGAAAAAAAGAAACCTCCAAGATAGAGAAAAAAATTTCTCTTATACATTAAAAACTCTTCCAAAAAAAAGTTTTATGGCAAAAATTATCTTCAAAATGGTATAAAAAAATGAAATTTTATGGACAATTGAACCTTAAAACTATTTTTTTCAGAGCTCGACGGCATAAAATTGAATTTTTTTTTCGGGAAATTGTGACATCCTGAATATTGAAAAGCACGATTTTTTCACATTTTTGAAAGAGTTCAAGAAAAAAAAATCATCAAAAAAACCTGAGTCGTCATGGTGAGTAGAGTAGTTACACCAAGCGTTACTCGGGCTGGTACAGCTCCTGAAAATTGATTTTTTTTTTTTCAAATTTCAGTTTTCAAGCTGTATGAAGTGCTTCAAAAAATCGAAGAAACACTGAGAAAATTCTTAGAATCGAAACAATGAAATATAAACCTCGATCAAGCCAAAAGGAGACCCAACTGACGATCACCAACATGGTTGATGGAATATAAAGTTGTAAAAGATAATAACTGAAAAAGTAATGACATAATCAACTTTTGAAAATGGGTAAGGTTACCTAAACTGCCGTCGCAATTCCAAAACGGTCCTAAGGCACGAATAAGTACCGGTGTTGGTTGAACTTCGACACAACGTCGTTGTTACCTAAAAATTTTAAAAAAAATTACAAAAAAATCAATAATAAAAAAAGTCCACTTTGAAAGCTATCTTTCAAAATTATCATCAAAATGACTTTCAATTTTTATAAAATATTTAAAAAAATTACATTATTAAGCTGAAAACTGGGGAGAGAAGAGTGTAAACCGGGCTTGAGTTGTACTGGATCAGTGAGTTTCCATCGGTATTCTGCAAAATAAAAATGCAACTTCGATACGGCAATTTCATGTCAGAGTGATCTGAACTGTTGTTTATTTGAAAATGAATAGATAACGTGGGAGATTAGGCCGTCAAAGAGTATAAAAGGGTTGAAAATCCCAGATGATCATAACTCGACTGGACCCACTACTCGCCTACCGCATCCTCTGCTGATCAGCCGACGGCGCCGCTCACCGGCTCACCGACGGCCACGACACCGACTGCAAGGTCGGTGAGCGGCGCTGTCGGCTGATCAGGAGGGGCGATTGGTACAGTCGGGTTATCTGGGATTGGTTGCTACGACAAGAGTGAGTTTTCCATTTACTTCATCTTCTTTTTAAGCCTTTGTACCGCTTGAGCGGCGTCGGCGCCCCTGGTCCATTAGCCAAAGTCCTGATATCAGTGAACTGGCTCGAGTGACATATCCGTCCTTGTGTGTGACGGCTGGGGATTTTGAAGCCGTGGTTTCGGTTAAGCCGGTAATGGTTATCTGGGATCTGGTGCTACGACAAGTGACTTATCCAAGTACTTCTTCTTTTTACGCCTTTGTACCGCTTGAGCGGCGTCGGCGCCCATGCCGCTTAGCCAGAGTTCTATACTGATATCAGTGGACTGGCTCTAGTGACGTATGTGTGACGGCTGGGGATTTCGAAGCCGTGGTTTCGGTTGTGCCGGTTATGGTTATCAGGGATTGGGTGCTCCGACAAGTGAGTTTTACATATACATTACTACTTCTTCTTCTCCAACGCCTTTGTATCTCTTGAGCGGCGTCGGCGCCCCTGGTCGCTTAGCCAAAGTCCTATCCTGATATCAGTGGACTGGCTCTAGTGACATATCCGTCCTTGTGTCAGTGACGGCTGGGGATTTTGAAGCCGTCTTTTCCCACTACCACCATTACTTAAAACCCTTTAGGTCGCGGATCAAACTTGTGACCCTTTGGACCGTAGACAGGCACACAACCTGTTGCGCTGCCGCGGAGATTACTGTATGCGAATAAGCGCTTTGCGTGCATGCACATTGTGTTTACATTCTCGATGCGTGACGTCTCCGAATTGTACATCACCGCATTTTTTTTTTTGGATTTTTTTTTTGCTTTTTTTTCAAGATTTGCATTTTTTGTTCGATCATATTTGCACGACACCTGGGATTTCCCTTTCATATCTTTGACGTGGGCCAATCTGCCCCGTTGTATACCCTCTTTTTTCGTTACCCCGTTTTTCAAATACTCCACATGAAAATTGCCTGTGAAAAAAACCTTTTCTAGAGTTGCTACGCCCTCATTTCTGGAAAAATCATGAAAAACCAAAGCTATGAACCTTCGAAAACTACTAATGCGTCATTGAAAATCGAATTTTCTTCCTTTTTTCAATGATCTCAGAAGTCTTGAACGACTGGAAAAATGAAAACGACCATTCATCTCGGAATTTTTTTCGAAATCTGTCCATGCTTTAAAAAAAAAACGATGCTCATAATTTGCACAAAATCGTCATCCTGTTTCCTCCTGGTTCATCCTTGCTTTGTCATCCTTTCATCATCTATCAGCTCTCTCATGAACTAATTCATAAACTGACCAATATCATTCTCCGTGTAAGCGTAAGAAGCCAGATCGATCAGGCAGACTTGGACATCCATCGGGTAGTACTGTAGGTGCATGGGGCACGAAAGTGTCATGGAAATTCGAACGGAATACAAAATCCGGCCGTCTTTATGTATCCGGATCAACACGTTTGGCTTGTCGATCATATGCCGGTGGGCTTGCTTTTCGTTCTGGAAATGATAAATTATCAATTTGAGCTGAAATTTTAAAATATGAATCAAAAGGTCTACAAAAACAGGGTCTACAAAAAATAGAGGAAGTCATGAAGTTTCAAGAAAACAAGGACAAAGCTGTCTAGAGGGAGACAAAAGAAAGAATCACGGACATTATAAAATATATAAAACACCTTTTTTCAGATCATGCAAGGTCCTTTGTCTTTGGTATCACTGGAAAGATCACTTTTCTATCTTCGTTTGCTACCAAATTACTACCAAAGCAAACGAGTGCTACCAAAACTATCAAGTTTGGTTGAGAAACCAGAAAAAATTGGAGAGAGAAAAAAAGGGTAAAATTACTGTATATGCCTTGTTTCGTGGCCATAGAAAACTCACTTTCAATTTATTTTAATGCACCAAAATTATGAACTTCAATCGAGAACGAAGGGCGATGTGATATATACCGAGAACTGACCTGGAAAAAGCTGTCAGGCATCCAGATCTGCTGGCCGGCAGTCAGAATCAGAAAGTCGGGCTTGTTGTCGCCAGGGAATCCGAAGGCCAACCGGCCATCGACCCACTCTTCGCGGAACGTCAACTGCACGCTGTACTCCATGTTGACGTCGTCGATTTTGGATATACTGCAGAGAAAAAGGAAATTTTTGACTTTTTCTAATGGTCCGAAGTTCAAAAAGTCACTTAGAAATTCCATATTGAGAACAAAGAGAGATAAGCGGATTTTTGAGAACAAAGACAGATAAGCGGATTTTTTCATTTAAAAAACCTCTCAGAACTTTCTAAAACATCAAAAATTGATTAAAAAGGGGAAAGGGGCGAAAAAAGCAAAAAATGCGAAACTATTTGAAGCTAAACACCTTCCAGGCCTTAAAAACTGGAAAAAATTGAATCATCAAAATTTGAAATTTATCAGTTTCTGTCTTGAGGGCGAAAAATGTCAGAATTCTTTCAAGATCGGGAAAATTTGAGTTTAATATCGCAAAATTCAAACTCCGAACACCGTAAAAGGTTTTTTTTTTCTATTCATGCTCAAATTTTCCTTCATACTATTTCTCGAATCGCTTTTTCTTGCAATTCACTGTGAAACTCGTAGAATCTGTTGAGAATCTACATTTTTCGATATATCTTCAGACCCCTCCAAAATTAGTCCCATCGCACCGAGAAGAAAATGTTGCCGAGAACTAACAACGCAATACGAGGAGCCCCCGTTGTGAAAACCTTCTCAGATTAGCCTTGTTAATTTTTCCCCGTGTCCCTAAAAGTACATCCATGACGAAGATGTATGATCTAAACAACTTCAGACACTAAATTATTGAAAAAAGAAGTGAGAAGTAGGCGAAAAAAGGCCTGGGATTCGTTCGGCCATGAATAAATGAATGAAGTGTGGGAAATTTCGAGAAGTTCTTTGGTTTTTTGTTTTGTTAATTTTCATTTTATTGTCGTTTAAATTTTTTTAAATGAGTTAGAGAGGGGAAAAGTGCGAAATTTGAACTTCAGAAAAAAGAAAAAGTCTGCTCACCTTCGAATCAACATGTTCACGTTGACAATAACAGCGCCGTGGGTCCCTGAAATAGGTTGCTCCTAATCTTAAAAAGTAGTTCTTGAAAAGTTCTTTAAAGCTGAAAAAGGACTCATCGCCTCGAGACCTTCATTTTTCCTTCTTTTTTTAAAAATACTCAATTATGAACCTTTGAAATTCTTTTGCAGAGGTTTTTTGAAGAGGAAAAAGATTCGAAAACTCACCAGGAACGGTCAAATTGATACCAGGCGGCCGAACCCGCCAATCGTAGCCTTTGCCGAGAAGTTTTTTGATGATTTCCGTGTCGGATGAGGCATCCGACTCGCTGGAAAAATGTTATGTACTTCTTCTTCACGACTCCCCTGCAAGGAAGCTTTTTTTCTTATAATTTTATAGTTTTGAAGTTTTTTTAAATCTTATCAGACAGCTTTAAGACGCATGGTCGTTTGTGCGATTTCTACAAACTGCACCCGACCTCAAGCGACTTGCGCGGGTTGGCATCGGAAAGCCTTAAAAAACGCTTCTTAATTTCAAAACCACAAGCCATTCCACGTGCGCCTTTTTGGGCTCCCAAATTATTTTTAATAGTTCTCATGGACTTCTTACAGGAATAATTCCCGAAATAACAACAAAATGTCGTACTAAAAACGAACTACCCACACACCAACAATAGTAAAAACGTGTGGGGATATTTATTTACACGCGTCAATCCGTCGCTAAATAATTCACCCGACCCAAATTTTCCTGTGTGCCCCGTTGTGACGAATGTCTGTGCCGTGCGCGGGTTTCAGGTATCTCCTTCCTTTTCGTCAGCAAAATGAGCTGTGATATTTGCCAAAACACTCGAAATTACGTGGAAATCGGGGCTTCGTTTTCTCGCTTTTACAGTCGCGTTCTTTTTAGTTTTTTTTTCCAAAATCTCTTGTGGGACAAGAAAAAGAGAATATTTTTCTGATGGTTACATAAAAAGCCCCAGTAAATATACAAAAAATCGCCTAAAATCGCATTTCCAGCATTTTTCAAACACAGTATCCGTTCCAGCTTAGATTTTCTTAAAGACTATCCTACTCTTCTGAACGCCTTTCCAACACGGAATTCATGATTTACAAAACTTGATCTTTTGAGATAATTCCAAAAAAAATTTTTTGTTTTCGAGGCAGCTAACTTTGTGATTCATTCTAATATAACCTATCGTTTTTTTTTCTTTTTAACTAGCGACTTGGGAATCAGAATGGTTGGATAACAGCAATTAGCCTTCGTAGAACGCTCCGGGGATCATTATTTCTACCTGAGAATGACGAATCGCCAGGTTCTTTTTTTTTGCCTGATGAAATACGGCTGTTTTCTCTGAGCCCCTCAGATTCATCATGAACGTCACAATTCGTGGTACCTTTTTGATTTTCTGCGATTTATGGGGATGTATGGAACAATTTGGGGGAAGATAATTGCTTTCAAACTTCAGACTTTTGAACGGTATTGCAAGGGAAAATGTCCTGGAACCGGTTTGTCCAACATGAAGTTTAAAAAAAATTTTAAAATTTTCTAATGGGGACGATTATAGGTTGATCACGAACACAGTTACAAAACTTGGCTTCTGAAAGTCGTCGCGAGACCTTTATAAATCTAACCTATGCGCCTTTAAAAGTATTTTTATAAACATACTTCGAATTAGCGAATTGGTATCATTTACGAAGGAATTGAGTTTGTATCTAAAAAAAAAATTCAAATTGGGAATATTTGTCCACTGAAACCTCTAATCAAAATGAGTAATGAAAATAGTCATTTCGCAAAATGACACAAAAAACGCCTGAAAACAATAATTTTGGAGGCTTTTAGAAGAAAAATAATTTTACAATGTTAAATTATCTATATATGTGACTTTAAAAAAATAAATGAAAGAAAAATAAATTATTTTTTTATAAGGCAGGACAATTAAGTTTAATTTTACACGCTGATTTCAAAAATCAATTCGAAACCGGACCAAAATGCTTTGGACCACGATATGATCTATAAAAAGTAAGAAAATTAATGTTTTTGAAAGAAATCCTTACAAGATCAAAATTGAAGAATTGATTTCAGATCAAGAATCTTACATTTACGAAATTTAAAAATAAACTTTTCTCCAAAAATGAAACATGCTTAGGTAAAATCTTACGAGTAAATCTCTGATTTCGAACTAAGCATCTTTTGAGAAAAAAATCGTGAAAAAAATGAAAATTTACCCTCCAGGCAAGAGCGCGACGGCGATGAGTAACACGGCGAGCAGGCTGGTCAACGACAATTTCGGCGCAGAGGAAAATGAATCAGAGGATATCTTATCAGAGAGCGACGTAAGAGTAAGGCGCATCAGACGTGGCCAACGTCGCCGGCGTCGTCGTCGTCGTCGGATCAGAAGACGTGGCGGGCGGCGGCAGCGACTCGGTGCAATATGACGCTTGGCCGGCACAGCGTCGCCTCATACCGAGGAGGCTAATGATGCCTCAGAGGTCCGGTGTGATGATTCGTCGACAAAACTCGCCACGAGGCTGTCTGAGGTTTCGCCGCGATTTTTTTTTTTCTCTCTCGCTTCAAGCTCGCTGAAGCTCCGCCCACTCTTTCACACGGCAAAGGGAAGAGGGGAGTGGATGGAGTTCGTTCGAACCCGGTCTGATTTTCAGAGGTGGTCCAGCTCAAACTTTGTTGTCTGGCTTAGAAATATTGATGGAGGGATCGCTTTAGGCAGGCTTCAGAGGTGCACCAAGCTCACTTTGAGAACTGGTGAACTTGGAAGGACGTTGTTAATTCAGGTTGACCAGGAGCTTTAAAGGTAGTCCAGCTCAATCAGAGTTCAGTTTTTGAAAAGTTCACTCGAAGTGGATTTTGAGCGCCACCAAAGTTGACTTGAGCTTGATGACGTTCAAAATTCAATGACGACTTCTGCTTCGTAAGTTTAGAATTTTTCTTTCGGAGCACGAAGTTGAAGCTCCGATGCCAGCTTTGAGTTAGACTTGCAGCTCTTTTTTGAGGTGAAGCTTCAGGATGAAGGCTTTTTGTTGAAATATGCCTTTCTTGATCTTCACCACTTATTATCCTTTCAGATTACTTCTCCTAGCTTTTCAGAACTTCATGGAGACGTCGATTTTGGCCTTGAGTTTTCAAGCTTTCTTTAGTTCCTTCCCCAAGGTTCGAGTTCAACTCTGATCTTGAACTTCCAAGTCCCAGGAGTAGATGTGTGTGAAAGTGAGTGAGAAAAAAAACTTTCAGATAGAATGTTGCAGAAAATCGAGTCGTTTTTCAGGAGCTTCTCCTCGAATTCGAGAGGCCCCGTCGCCGTCGGAAACTGAGACGTCCTTCTTCTCAACTTCTCGCCCTTCTTTCAGCGAGGAAAAAAACGGCGTTTCGCCTGGAAAGTGAATTTTTCCCGAGGGTTTGAAGACGCGAGAGCAATGTCGCAAAGTTCACGAAAAAAAGAGTTGAACTGGACAAATTTTTTTGAAAATAGCTTGAAAAATAGAAAAATTATACAGAATTTTGAAGATAAAAAACAAGAAAAAAGGCGAGAAATGAGAAAATAAAATCAGTTGATCTAAATCTATGAAGTGGTCGATGAGAAGTTTCATGATCCTCTTGAAGGTCTCCTAAAAGTAACACTTCTCTTTCTTCTCAAGGACTTGAAAAGCGTCAAAACTAGTTCTTCTAAATAGGGAACGGTGTTCATTCGCAGTACGACTTCTGAATGAGACTATGTTCACTAGATGTAGTTTTTCCCGCTAATTCCAAATCTGGTATCAAAAGCTGCCTTTGAGGCCTTTGAAAAATATAGGGACTCTCAAATGCCGAAAATTTCTATAATCGCGCTCCTTTTCAGTGTAAAGTCCTTGTTTCTCTGGTCACGAAACATCATAAGATTTTTTTCAGAAAACTTCTGGAGCTCAGATATTAGTCTCATTCAGAAGCCCCACTGCGAATCCCACGTTAAAAAAAAAGAAAAATACTGGTAATCAAGTGGTCACTTGAGAGCCTTTAAACGAGTATCACAATCGAAAGTAATCCACAAAAAAAAAGTAATTTTATTCTCTAAATTTTGACTTTAAGCCTGGCTCCTTCATATTAATTTTTTGCGTACCTGCTCAATTTTGCTCTCTTCAGCGGATCTTTTCTGAAACTGTCAACTTAAAAACCAAAAGAGCAAAATACAAAGAAAGAAAAAAAACGTAAAAAAAAGCACCAGAAAGCCGTTCTTTTTTCGTCCCACAAACGGATGCTCTCAAGAAGAGTTATCCACTTTCAGCCGCATTTTTGAGTTGTGGGAATAGGAGACAAAAACGGAGGCCTCCTAACACACATGAGCTCTGAGGTTAATTGCCGGCCAAAGAAAGAAAAAAAAATGGTCGTAAAGATGGCGTGACGGCTACTATTGTTGTACTTTTTGGGCAATGAGCTGAATAAAATGATAGTGAGTGACCGGAAATTGACTAGAACACAACACAAATTTTTAGCATTTTTTTTTTAGAAATTTTTCAAATAAATATGAATCTAGATTATTCTAATCAGAGCTTGAATACGTCATTTAAAGTTGAATAAAACAAATTTTCAAGGTGAATTCAGCTCAAAAACAAAATCAAAATGATTAGGCGAGTGTTTAAAGGAGCACAGAAAAGCTTATCAAGGGGATCGAGGCGAAGAAAATGATTTATAGACTAGAAAATAAGAGAAATGAGAGACTTCAGACAAAAAAGAATAATCCAAACGTCCGCGTCTCCATCTTCGGCTTAATCTCTATTTCATTTAGTTCGGAACGGTACTAGAGAGAGTCGAGAAAAGTGATTTTTACCGTCTGCGTCTTTTCATTTCCACTAAACCCTGCTCTCTGAAAACTAACTCAAGTAAATCCAGTGGGAGAAAAAAGTTAGCTCAAAGAAATGAAGGAGAAGAAAAAGGATGAGAAGAAAGTTAAATTCCATATTCGCACGTATTTTCGCCTCAATTGCTTTTTTTTCGGCCCGGTGCCAAAACACATACACGGCGGAGGCTGTTTTTTTGTTGGACAGCTCTTTATACCTCAGAAAAGAAGAGAATCCTTTTCATTTTACCAACACTCTTTCTCTTTTAAAAGTGGAAGGAGGGGTCTGAGGAGGTCTAATTGTGTTTGAACTATTTATTTTGTTTTTCCCGAAATTTTTTCTGTTGGAGGTAGTTCTTCTCGAAAATTCTAAGAAAATCGGTAATTCAGGGCGTCAGAGCCTTTTTCAAAACTTCAAGTATGCCCCATCGCTAATTATTCAATTCACTCATTATCTGGACTCTATTTACGCTCAAAAACCAGCGTGAAGTCCTTTTTGGCTCAAAAAGGCATATAACGAAAAGAAAAGACTTTTGAACAAAAATAGCTCCGAAAAGGCAAAAAATATACGAAATCTAGCCACCTCAAGTCCACAAATCCGGGAGAAAAAAGAAGAAATGATGTGATCCGAAATTCATGGCATCATCCAGGCCGGCTAATTGAAAAATAATGGGATGAACAAAAAAAGAAGGAAGCCAAAAAATAAGGAAAGGGTGCGCCGTTGATGGTTTGGGATATAAGCAGGGTTATACCATATTTTGTCAAAATTTCATTTTTTCACCGAATTCAGGTAAGGTCGAGTGGTCACTTAAGAGATAGCTCAAAAATCGCTGCTAAAGGTCAGTAGAGGGATTTTGATGAATAAAATTAAAGGTTTTTTTCCTTATACAAAGGTTTTAGAAAAAAGAAAAGTGTAGATTTTTTTCTTTTTCAAAAAGAAGATCAGCTTCGAAACTAAAGTACAAAAGAATGGAGACAAAACAGAAAACCACTTCAGAAAAAAGTGCAATGGGAAACGTTTCGGAATTGACGTAACCCAATTGGCTCCAGAAGCTTGCGCCAAACTCAGGAATAATCTTTTTTTCGAGTAGCAATTTTTGAAGAACTTTTCCGATTTTTTCTTCGAAAATGTTCACATTAGCAAAATATGTTCATTCACGATAAATTTAGGTTTAATGGGACTTCGAGCGCGAAATTTAAAAGGGGCTTAGCCTAGAATATTTGATTAATTTCAAATCTCATAAAGATCCCAATTATTTCAAAAAGCTTCCAGTAGATTACTAAATATTAGGACAGATTCATCGGGGCGTATAAAAGAAGCATAAGCTTCATGGAGAAGACGTCAATTAGTTCTTCCAGACAATAATCCAATCACTATTAAATTCTACCGCTCTATTTGAAATTTATGAGTCTTTTAGTTCGAAAAATGGTCCATAAGATTGATGGAACGGAAAATTTTTGTTTCGAGGGTTTTTTTCAAATGTAAAATAAAAATTCAGATGTCTTTCACTTTGATTAAAAAGTGATTTCCGCATGTGAAATTTTCTCAAAGCGACGCGGTCGCGTAGCGGTTGGAGCTTAATATATTTGAAAAAGCCGAGCGGCGCAGGTCTTTTTTGGTCTTGGAAGCAATTCTAAAATCGAAAAGAAATTGATAAGTTTTTTGCCCCTCTGAATTCCGTCAAAATGAAAACGCTGCGTTGCGGTCGCGTCGCGGCCATGACGTCATTTTTATTTTTAAAACGTTCAATCGTTGGTATATCAAAATGAAGAAGATCTCAAGAATTTCAAGATATGGAGAAACAAATCTGAAAACCCAAAATGACAAGGAAGAAAGATGTCTGGATAAAACTACTAATAAACATCATATTTGGGAACAAAGAAGTGGTAGGGTCCGGAAGAAGGGTGTGGTGGTCGGTGAGTGCAAAAGCTTCCGTAGTAAATATGCTGAGAAAGAGGAAAAGAAGGAGGAAAAAAGCGCATAAAGGACCTCCCAAAAAAGGGACAGACATGGGGCCAAGTAGATTTGCCGGTTCTCTTTTCTCGTCTTATTTTTTGTCCGTGTCATATGAATACGCTCTACTCCAGAGGATAAGTAGGCTCATTTACATTCTTTTTTTCCGGGTTCACAAGAAAATTTCATCGAAAGTTTAATTGGAAAGAATGAAAAAAAGATTGAAAATGAAATTTTTTTATAGCTTTTCCTTACTAAAAAAAGAATATTGAACTTTTTTTCTTTTTTCAGCTCTTAAAACTTTTCGAAAAAAATACTCCCAAGACAAGAAATGAGAGTTCAAAAGTACTGAAAAGCGATCGATTCGAGCCTGATTAAAATAGTCCCACAGAAATATTATCTTGAAACATTTATTTAGAAAAATTGGCCCCTAGAGTGGTCCCTATAGAGGTTAGAGGAAAAAAAAATCCCTAAAGAAACACAAAATTGCTCCCTGTAAATTTCAGGTGATCCTTCTAGGGGTTCAGGATCTGACCCCTTAGCCACTGAAGATCAAGTGGTCTCTATAGGGTATTTTTGGTTTTCAGATTTGAGAATGAAAAAGACAACTTGACCAGTTTATTCTATGTTGAAATTTATAACTAAAAAACGTTAGTTTATTGAGTTTTTCGCATGAAAATGCTTCTTTTCCTAGATTTCATATCATTACACTCCTATAGGGGCCACTCACGGATACGGGAAGGTAAGTGGTTTCTAGAGGGGAACCTCAAAAGATCTTAAAATTGACCCTATAGGGATCTCTCTGGCGCTTATGAGTAGAGCATTCAAAACGCGAAAGGGTCTCAGAAGACCTAGGACAATCCAGAAACGGCTTTACAATCTTTTTAATAAAAATGGGGCTATTCTCGTGGATTCGTGAGCTCCTGCGAAAATTTTTACCGCAAAAAACAACAAAAATCCATCAACTTTCTCTTTAAAAGGACCTTAACAAAGTTCAACACGTGCAATCCAAGTTAACAAAAAAAATGAAGCTCTTATCGGATTATCTTCCCTTTTTTTTTTTGCAACATCCGCATTTCGGAACAGCGCTTCCTGGTGACATTAGGCTTAAGATGAAGTCTTAGGAAAGGGGAAAAAAGGAGAAAAAGAAAGTCCAATCGGATTTGGCCCGTGCGCCGCCGTGTACCGGAAACCGAATCATCGACGGAGGTCCTCAAGGCGTCACTATTTTATTTCATTTTTTTCCATGGCCGTTTTTTCGAGAGTTTCAAGCGAATTTCAAGTAGGGCTATGACGTTGGAGCATCAAAAAACAAGGGTCATTGGTTTAGAAGGCGATGCGGTCGCGTCGCGGTTCCTAAGGGCAACTCTGTAGTTTCATTTTTGACCTCTTTGAAGGCAAAGAGCACGGAGTTTTGCTGTTAATGATGACGTCATTCGAAATGCTGCGTTGCGGTCGCGTCGCAACGCAGCATCTTCTTTAACTTTTTTTTTTTGACTTTTTTATATGGAAATTAGTTTTAAAAAAAACTGACAGCTCAGGAGTAGCCGTCATCTCCGGCAAAATCACCATCCTCGGAGGATATGTGGAAGTTGTGAGCGCTTTTGTCGTTGAACTAGGGATTTTGGTCGGTTTTGTGCCGGTTTCGAACTCGGCAATGATCTCGTCGACGTAGTCTTCCTCTTCGACAGGATCCATCTGAAAAAAAAAACTCATTTTCTAATTACAAACATTTTAAACATTCAAAGCTCAAAAGTACAAAAAAATTGACCGAATTAACGTGAATATTTAACAAAATCCCGAAAAACAGGTTGATTTTTTTGCCATTTACCACAATTTCTCTCGAGTTTCAAGCCAATTCTGCGATTTTCAAGTTATTTCTGGCTTTTTAGAAGTCTGAGAGCTTTCAAAAGAAATAAACAAGAACATTTTCCAATTTCTGAAAAATTTGTACCTCGCGATGTCGGTGACGTTTCCGACCGGTGATTTCAACCGCAAGCCATCTGAACAAAAAAACATTTTCCAAATGGAAAAAAAAAAACTCACAGAACGATCAAAGCAATCAAGGTGCATTTCATCCGTCGGTTTCCTGAAAAAAATAACTTTAAAACAAATAAAAGTTTTTTTCAGAGCATAAAAACACATTTTGTTCGCAAAAAAAGAGATTCGACATTTCAAATGGAAAAAAATTCATGAAAAAAAACAGTGACTTTTTTTAAAAATGGGGTCGAGTAAATTTCTCATTTGAAAAAAAAAGGAGATGGTAAATTGACTTCCCTATCCAGAAAGAGAAAAAAATAGGAGTGTATCCATAAATTATGACGCACCAAAAAAACATTGAAGCTGGAAAAGGAAAAAAATAAACTAATGAGTACTTTTTCAATTTTTTTCAAGTTTGGCTTTCGACCTCGGATAACCAAGAAAAAAATCTGAAAAAAACTGCAACAGAAGTCGAGACCCGAACATTGTCGGATCCCCATTGGATACTCTATTTGCCAAGACTCTCGTCTTTTGTTTTCCAACATAATCACTCACTTCGCGCCCACCGAAAAGGCTCCCCTATCTAGATAACCCTCCAAGTGTTTTGTTTATCAGTTAAAAACAAAGAAAAATCACATTTTTCTAGAAAAAAGGCGAAAAATAAGGGGCCGACTAATTGTGTTAATAGTTATTTTTTGCTCGTAACAGCAAATTAGCGCCACCGGCAATTGAGAAAAGGATGCATAAATTTGTGGGTGAAATGTGGGCCAATTTTCATTCAGCAGCTCAACCAATTCATCACTCGTTCAATGCAATTTATGGGCTCAAAAACTACTATCAAGTGCAATTTAATATAGGCTGTTTTTGTTGCGTATTTTGGTCTTTTCCGGACTTTTTTCTTGGGTTGAAACTATTTTTTCGTTCGGAAAAAAAATTTTGAAGGCTTGGAAAAATTCTAGGAGCCGAAGAATGTTTAATATTTGCGTTCTGATGAAAAATTTTTGATTTTTTCACTTTCAAACCCATTCACAGACAGTAAAATATAAGGTATACAGCTCAACAATACGAAACTACAATTAAGTTGAACACTTCAAAGATAATAAAAATCAAAAACTGAATAATCCACTCGAAAATAGAAACAGTTCAGAAACTTTGCGAAAAAGGCTTGAAAAAGTGAAATTCACGAAAATATGAAATTGCAAGATTTTTTTCACTAATTTAATAATGAATCAATTGGAGAAGAGAAATCAAAATTTTAATACAAACTGGACAGATTATACTTTTCACAGAAAATTTTCTAAAAGCTTCTCAAAAAAAGATATTGTCTTCAAGCCTAAACAAAAACCTTCCAAAAAACGTTTTTCAACTCGAAATAGCTTGAAATGAATATCAGAGATGGTTCTGTTTTCAAAAAGGAAGTAGAACAAACAAAAACGCACAAAAGGACAGAAATGAGTAGGTGTGAAACCTTGGTAACATCAACCATGCAGAAAAATTTTTCAGTCGGTTTTTTGCTATCTCCAAGACAAAAGGTCATCCTCAGCTGAAAAATAAGCTTTTTTTATGACTCATGACCACAAAACGTTGGAGAAATCCCATTTTCATACAAAAATTTCAATGGAAACTGATTTTGTGAAAAATAATCGAAATCTTGCGAATTGAATGAATTTTTTCAAAACTTTTGAATCTGAAATTTTTAAACTATTTATCATTCAATTTTGAAAAATCGAAAAAAAATACAATCGAAAAAAAGAACCTCGAACGAGTCTTCAAAACACAAATGCAAATGACAAGGAAAACCACCCGAAAAAATCTCGAAAAAACAATGGTTTTGGCTCCAAAATAACAATATATTCTTCATTTGGAGAGGCCTTGGGGGGTTCCGAGTGAAAATGATGATAGACAAATAATGAAAAAGTACAGGTATATCAAGTATTCATATGGGTTCTCATAGTTAATCGGTTGAACTGAATGATTGAAAATAAAAATAAAAGGACACAAATCACATTAATTTTTACCGAGAGGGGAAAAGAATAAATTGCATTTTCCAGAATTTTTTTAGGACCATTTTATGAAAAAAGTAATTAGATTTTATGAAAAAAAATAAGAAAAGTGTTTCGGAAAAAAAAACACAAAATCTCACAAAAAAACTATTTTTTTATAGATGGTCTTACGATAACATCAAGCATCGCGTACACATCGACGCACGATAGCACCCAAAATAAATTTTTTTTTTGAGCTTTTTTCTCATATATCCTTGTTTCAATGGCTATGTAAAAAGTTTCTCTTACGAATATTCTTTTTGATACGCTTTTTTCGTTTTCTTGTACCTTTTTTTGGCAAAAACTTCTGAAAATCGCTCAAACTTTTAGGTCTCGCTTATACCGTCGTTTCACAATCTTCCATGATTCTTCTTTTCTAGTGATAAATGTGAGTCGTTTATTGATAAAACTGATGAATGAAAATTAAAACTCGTCCTTCTCGGGCTAAACATCAACATTATCAACAATGATCCCAGAGAATTGATCACTTATAATTTATCAGAGTTACCTATCAAACTAATATTCAAGGATGAACTAATTTTGCGCGGAAAATCAAAATGAAAAATAAATGCAAATTTTCCAACGAAATAAAAAACACATTTGAAGTGATTTTCGAAACTTTCGTGAGTGACCACTTGACAACACCTCAGCCAAGTCTGCTTGAATCAAAAAACACGATTTGACATTCAATTGAATCAAAAAAGTACGAGTTCAAAGATAAAGCTCTGTGAAGAGCGAAAAGTGGGCGCCGAATTTGAATACACTATTTTTGGGGCTTCTCTGCCGCATTTTTCCAGTTCAGAGCGTGTTTCGAGAGTTTTTTCACCAGTTCAAAGAGGAGCTGGAGGAGATGCTCCCACTTATTAGAGGCAATGGTCCTGAACAATAAGATGGAATCTTGCTCTGTTAACAATAAATGACTGAGTTATGACAGCCTCCCTAGAAAAGTTTTTGAATAAGAATGAAATGAAAAAGCCGCTCTAAAAATTATAAAATTAAATAAAGAGAAGAAATTTAAAACTTACACGGTTACAATTTTTTTAAATTTTATAATAAGGTCAAAATTGAACGGTTCAACGCGCGTCCGACTTGAAGCGACTTGCGCAAGGCGGATCAGAAAATTCATGTGAGCAAGTTTTAAGCCGAAGCCGAACGCAAAGCGACCGCGTCTTTTTGAGCCATTCCAAATGCGATCACAACGTTGCAAATTCAACAACTGAAGAAAGATTTGCCATTACAACTCCAAAAATTTTTCCAGCTCGAATTTTGATAAGAAACGTTCATTTTTCGAAGAATAATCGGAATAATCGAAGAAAAAAAAACATATTTAGTGCAAAACTAATGCGCGACGGATTTTCCCCTCGTTTTTTTTTCTAGTTCACAGGATTAGCGATGCCTCGCCATTGTTCCGCGTACATTTCGCCTCACAGCTTCATCCCATTCATTCATTAATTTTTAATCCTATTAGGCCTTCAACTTTAGTACTAGCAACTCTGAAAAAAAGCCGAGTAGAAGAAAAAGAGCCGTTAAAAATCTTGAAATATGAACGATCGATGAAGGATCCAACTTTGGCGGAAAAAATGAGATCAAAGTTTCTATTTTGAATCAAAAATCAAACCCCAAAAGATGTTGAATTCTGGTCTAGTTTTGAGGCCTGTTTCACTCTAAAGAAAACTTTCGAAGATTCACACTATAAATTTGAAAAAAAAACGAGACCAAAGTTAACAGAACATAGCGAAAAAAACTTTCTCTACGATATGTGCTCTTTACGGATAAGTTTCGAAAAAATAAAGGCCTCGTACTTCTTTTTTACATTGATTTTTTCTTGAAGAACTAGTGGAAACAAGGAAAAGCTTTAAAAAACATTTTTTTTCTCGAATTTAGCCAGGAAAAAGCTCCGATTGTCAATAAAGTTTCCCTTCAAAGTTTGAAGGAAAGTCTGAAAATTTTCAAAAAGGGCTTTTTTTGAATTACTTCTTAAACCTTCTACTCAACAAAAAAATTTATAAATGAATAAGAAAAAAAGCGAAAAAAAGCTGAAATAAATAACAGAGGTTACGAAATAACGCTGAGAAGCTTCTTATCATTATATCACACCTATATTAGTCAGTTTTATTATAAATTCCATATCTCATATCACAATTATTTTTTGCCATTGTCCAGAAAAACAGAAAAGTGATTCACAATAAAAAAAAGCAAAGTCTAGCGAAGAAAAAAGAGTGAAGAAGTTGTGAGAGGAAGGTCTTGTCTGACGGCGTCGCCACAAGACTTGGAAATGAAGAACTCCCGGATTTTATTGCATTTGTTTAGTCTTTTGAAGCTGGAAAAAGAGTCGTAGTTCACGAAAATTCGACTTTTGAACCAATTTTTGGGTTGTGGCTAAACAATTTTTTCCAACTAGAAATACGGGATTAATTGAGAAGATTGAGCGATAAAATGGAACAACTGATGCGATTTTTGAGACTTTGAAATGTAAAAACTCTCGAAAGAATTGATTATTAATTATTGATGAAAAATTTAAATTCTTCATTTCACTTGAAATTGAAGTTAGGGAAAAGGAGGACTTCATTGTCAAGTGGTTAAGTGATTTAACTGTGAATCTAAAGGTCGCTGGATCGAATCCTGGAGGCTATTTTACGTTTTGCAGACTGCTGGTCATACTTTTACAGTTCTGATTTGAATCATAACTTTTAAGGACAATGAAAGAAACGTCACTAGGGACAGGAACAAGAAATCGCCTCAGAGTTCCTAGTAAGAGCCAAGAATAGGGGCTCAAGGACAGCAGATCTGTTTTTTAACGAAAACTCAATCCATCTTAGAAACAATTTTGTAGCTTCAATGAAAATTTCAAGTCTGAGAGAAAATAAAGAATTTTCACATTTTTAAAAGATATGAGAGAAAAAAAGATCGAAAAACGGACAAAGTCCATTTTGCTGTTGTGGATTATCGCCCACAATAAAGCACTTGGGGAAGATTCACTTAAAACTATGTGTGAATGGATCTCTAATGAATGTGAGTGTAGCATGTAGACGTTGAATTTTTAAAAACTTCGAAGAAATTAGAATAAAAAAGATCGTTTTGAATTGAAAATATCAACCGGGAAGCTTGAACTTTCTTGGAATTTCCGTAAAATGAGAGGAGTTCCCTCAGTGCTCTTCTAGGCCGGCCTTTTTCTGCAGTTTTTCGTTTTAACCACTAAAAATTCCGAATAAAAACTTCAATTTAATCTGAAAGTATGTAAGTAGATAGTTGGAATATTTTAAAAAGATGAAAAACTCGCTGAAGCTCAAAAAAAGAGCCTTATATTTCCTCCTTTTTGGGTCGTTTTGCCTAATTTTAAAAAAAATGCTAATTATTGAAATGAAAAAGTTTGAATTGAATCATAAAGATGAACTGATAAAAATAGAACATTCTTGAAAAAAAAAACGGAAAAACTCGTCGAAATTCAACAAAAAATGCTCTTCCATTTCCTCCTCCTAGACCTATTTTGCCATTTTTTCCGCACTCATTTTCTTGTTTTTTTCAATTTTGCTGACGCAACTCTATGGGAGCTTTTCGCTTTTTTTCGAAATTGGCTTTTTTGCAATTCATACCAAGGTCCATAATAAACGTCAGTTTTGAAATAACAAAGTCATATCGAAATGAGCTTTTTTCGAATTTTCGATTGAAATATTTTAAGTGGTGACTTGAGAGGCTAGTCTGGAGCTCTTACAGCTTTGCTAAACCCTTAAGAGACCACTCCATAATGGTCAAGTTGCTCGTTAAGGTCATCGATTGAGTATTTTTCAATGACATAAAATATTCTTAACTTTCAAAAAGATTTTTTTGGGGTTCAAAAAGTTTAAAAAAACTTTATAAAAAAATATTTTTTTCAAATTATAAAAAAATAACTTTTTTTATTTTTGAAATAAAAAAGGAGAAATCGGAAAAGGATCTTTCCTGGAATTCGCTTCAAATTTATTTCAAAACTGCGGCTCCTTCGAAGAGTCGAACAAAGGAAACCCCAGAAGCCAAAACAGAACTTCTCGAAAACACTTTTTATATCCTTTTGAGGTGACTTGAGTACTCGAAAAGTACTTCATTCATTTTTTTTTTCGGATTTTTTTTTTCAGACGTTTGTTCGTAGCAATTGTGACCAGAAGTTTCCAGAAAGCCCAAATCCTGGCCAAGGCGTTATCAATAAGATCGAAAGCTATTTGACAAAGTTCGTGGAAGATAAAAATGTTTCACACCCCAAGAAAGTTCAGCAACTCAAAACCTATCAGTGAGAAAGGTGCAAAAAATTTTCGACCACGGCAGGACTCGAACCTACAATCCCCAGATCCGAAGTCTGGTGCCTTATCCATTAGGCCACGCGGCCCATGAGTTCTGGCGCCGTGTTTTGCCATCACCATACTTGTTATGCTCACGCTCCATGGGTCTTAAGGTGCATGAAAAGTTGAAAAAAAGTTATTTGAACTTTATTCTGAGTAATTTTAGATGGCATTAGTGTTGAGTTCGCTATTCTGTACCGTCGAAGAAGTCTTTTTGCCGCGCAACAGTTGTCGGAACTCGGCGTTGAGAAGAATGATGATTAGGCTGTAATTTTACATTTTAACGGGGAAGTTGAACTTTTTCTGAAAACTTACGGATCAATTGAATGAACAGCAGACCAGGCGACAGTTGTGCAAAGAAAAATCATCCAGGGGTTGGATTGGCGGGCAGAAACGATGAAAAATAGGATGAGTTCCGTGGAAAAGGTCAATCCTTGTAGGGCGACCTAGGAAATCCTTTTTTTATTTCTCAAAATTTAAGATTTTTTTAATTAATTTGAAGGGGTTGCAACCATATGGAAGCCCGCGAGTCACCAAAAAAATTAGCTTCCAATAATTCATTTTTTTATGATTGGGATTTTGAAATACTTGGAACTTTGAAGAAAAATGGTCCTGGAATGTTGAGGGAGATTTCAGGGGAAAGAGACTTTTTCAAATTTAGTTAATTTAAAAAAAAGGTCCTGAAATTTGGCAAGATACCGTAGCTTACAAAAACTTACGGCCAGCTATTCTTTAATTTGAAACTTTTAAAATCTTTTTAAAGACGAAAATTCCTGATAGACGAGAAATATCGTCTCATTCGCCTTCAAGCGGCTCCTAAAACATTTTCGGACAAACTGTACCTGTTTGGCGAACTTGACTTCCATCGCTCGTCGCTTCGAGTGGATTCCGGTCCAATTGGAAGTTTGCTTCTGAAATTTTTCTAATGAAAAGGGTACATTTTTTTGAAACGTACCGATTTAGACTTGGACATCATGTGAATCAGGACTAGGGTAACGACGTTTACAATCACAATTTGACTGACGATGAAGAAATCTTTGCAGAAGTCGATGTAGAATCGGATAACGTCACATTTCTGAAGAAAAAGGTTAAATTTTTTTAATTAACTTAAAGTTTTTTTGAAAAAAACGATTAGCAAGATTTGCGAAAAAAATTGAGAGGTTTTTCAAACAACCCTCGCTATTTTTTTGAAATTCATGATTCTACAGTTTTTTTCTTCTTTTAAAAAAATCGGTGAGCTCAGCCACAAGTGCGACCATGTTAGGGATAATTATTTTTTTAAATCATAGAAAAAAATCTGAAACTTCCATGAAGATCCAACTTGTGGCGGTTTTTTTTCCTCGAAATTTTCCCTTTTTCCGATCTTATTATCGCCAGACAAAACTAGAACCATTACTCACTCAGTTTTTTTAATTGTTATCCATTAATTCATGTTGTTTTTGAATTGGCTAATATTAATTTGTTTGCCCGATTTGGAAAAAAAGATACTTACAGCTGACGTGTTTACTCCGAAGTACCAGCCAAACTTGACGTAGGGAAGGAGGCAATTATCTGAAAAAAGTTTGATGATTAATTTGGAGTTTTGAAAATGAAAATAAAATTTCAAGAAAGATTACTGGTAAGGTGCATGTAGATCGAAGAGAAGGAAGCGAAAGCGTAGGCAAGGAAAATTAGGATTTTTGTGTTGCGATCGCTGAAAAAGTACCTTTTTAAAATTTCTTCTCAGATAACTTCGATATAAAGCAATTTATCTACCTCTCTAATATTCTAACTTCCTTGTAACATCAAAACGCTTTGAAACAACGAAAACAATAGAAATTGATCAAAAACCTTGAAATCCTGGGAAAATTTTTAGGGGCCACTATAGATAGGAACCGCAAAGCCACGCCCCTTTTCGCTATAGAAAAAGTGGCTTTTTTTTGGTTTTCAACTTTCATTTTGTTGTAGTTGCAAAATATGTGGAACTGGCTATTAAAATTCGACACCCATGTACAGAAAAGCTTCCTCTTTCGTTTAAAAAATATTTCACGCTTTTTTGATGCGTTTTCGCGGAATGTCGTACAAAAACGTGAATGGAACTAAAAAATTTTGTCATTTTTTGCTTTTTCATGTGTTTTCAGGTCGAACGCACTCTTTCTTTTTTTATATAATGATTTCAATTCAAGTAACGGTAATTTTAAAACAATAAAATAAAAAAATTCGTCATTGCCAAAAATTTACGGGGCCGTTTAAATGCGATCGTTGAACGAGGCAAAAAGCACTAAAAAAACAGTTTTTTCAAAGTGAATTTCCACGGAAAGTTTGAGTGAAGATTTGCGAACATATTCTGATAAAAATAGCTAAATTACTTCAAATATTTCTTTTTGAAATAGGCAATCTGTGCTATTCAAACGGCTCAAGGCTATGGCGGATGGAGGCTCCCCTCGCTAGACCTAACAGCTTGGCGCAGCGCGTGCGCTGCGATATTTCATTTTGTGGTCGCGAGTTCGATGCCCGCAAGCGCCAGTTTTTTGTTTTCTGGAAAATACCGACTTTTTCGGCAAACTAGCAAATTTTTATCATTTTAGCACTATATTATGATTTGTTACATCATAATAGACCAGTATCAAAACTTGTACTAGAAGAAAAATCGAGAAAAAGTCAAAAATGGATAATACCAAAATTCCAGTACTAAAAATTGGTGCGCGGCGCGCCACATTTTTCGTCATAACTTTTTTCATCCTCAATCTTTTTCGAAAAACTAAACGGTTCTGAGTTTTGAATCGAAACAGCTATCAAACCATACAAAGCTCAAAGCTGAAAAAAAATTTTTGAAATTTCGTCTGCGGTCCCTAACTATAGAGGCTCGCCAAGGACTACTTGGAGAGGACACTAAAGTGGTCACTAAACCCAACTCTATAGTGACCATTGTTTTCGTTTTAGTGGCCACTTCAGTAGTATTTCATCCAGTATCCCTTTAATCCAGTAATCCTTCCAGTATCCCTTTAATCCAGTAATCCTTCCAGTAACTCTGATCATTTTAAAACAAACAGGTTGGACCAGTTATTTTGATCCATTGACCCCTAAAGTGACCACTAAAACTTTTAGTGGTCTAGTAGTATCACTTAGACCTCTATAGTGGCCACTCATTTTTAACCCCTTAAGTGGCCACTAATTTGACTACTATAGTGGCCACTAAAAATTTTCCTAGTCAGGTTTTTCCACCAAAGGACCGCATGGGCAATAACTTCTGAGGCTATTACAAGTTTCTCCCGAAACGACTTGTCCTTTTTTGGTAGCGAGAAGCATTGGAGTTTCAAAATTATGCAACCGCAACGCTTTGAGCCATTGCTACAACTTTATTAAAAATAGAAACCTCGTTTTAATGTGTCAAAAAAAACCTCTAAAAATACATTCTTCCTATATTTTTTCCGGTTTCTGGTGGAATTCGTGAGCTGGGGATGGATTGAGTGTTCAAAATCAATACGACTCTCTGAGCTTATTTTTAAATGAACTAACTTGAAAAGGGAATCATAGCGTAAAGGAAAAGCTATGGCGCATAGTCGGTTGACAGCGATGAAAAGATGAGAGAACATGCAGACGTCGTAACAGTAGAGAAGCACTAGGCCGACGTAGGAAGACGATCTCATGAAAACGTCGACTCCACTGAAAGTCTTGATTGTAAGTCAGAAATCAATTAGATGGAAAAGTTGATCTGCCTTGAAATGCTTTTGCCACATTTGGAATGGCTTACGCGCTGCGGTTGTATTGCGGTCCCGAGCGACTTGAAATCCAGCAGCTTTCCTAATGACACCTCTCGCTCTCGCTTGAGCCATTCTACGTGCGGTCATGAGCTTCCATGTCAAGGAAGTTTGAAGTGAATGGATAGTTATCAAATGGAGAAGCTTAAAAATTTGGGCAAAGTCTCAGTTGAAGATTTAGTTTCACATCTTTTTTGCCTTTTTTTGGATATGGATAAATTTAGCGTACGATCTCAATTTTTCCTATTTTCTCCATCATTTCCGTCCCAAAACCTAAGTTATGTAGCATGAACTCACAAAACGACCATGGGGCAGTAGAAGAAAGCGAAAGTTGCGCATAGAATAGCTTCGGCAAAAGCTTGGCTCGAAGAAAATCGTCCGAAAGAGTTTCGCAACGATTTCAAAGTCGAAGAGAACAGAAAAACGCACGTGTTTCCTGTTAGCCCAATGATAGAGATCTGAAAACAGTGATTTAAAAAAATGAAGGAAATATTGAGAACAGTCAGTTCACACCGACTTGACCACTATGAATGGCTCTTGCGTTGCGGCTGCGGAGCGGCTTCCTTGAATCATCATGAGGAAATTATTTCCTGTTTTTTTTATCTCATCAATCTGTCTTTGAAATTTCGATTCACTGAAAAACAAAAAGATCCACCAATTAGGAAGACGAATCCACTGATGAGTGGCTCAAGCTTCCTTGTTTTACGATATGACTGGTTTTTTTTATGAGAGTTCAAACTAGAAGTGAGAGACGTAATTAGGTTTTGAAAAGTTGGAGTCGATTCACCTCGACTAGAAATACAAATGTCGTGGCTACGATTTAAATTTCAGCTTAAGACCAGATCAACATAGATCTTAGGAAAATGCGCAAGTCCTGGTTGTTCGGGTGCAGTACAAGTGAAAGATGGAATCCTAAAATAAATTAATTATTTGACTTTTTCCACTCTTAAAAAAATTTTTTTCAAGTTTTAGCTTGCTTCTAGCTACTCCAGACCACCTCAAGCAATTTTTAGCCGCTGCGCGGAAGGAGTTTTTTTCAGTAAGGCTAAAAATCCCTTCAAGGACTGCGCCAAAGAAAACCGCGACGCATAGTAAATATATTTTTTTTTCTTAGTTTCTTCCTGACTTACAAGGAAAATTACGGCCGCAGCGATGAAATCAGCAGCTGTTGGTGTGTCCAGCGTTTCAATAAAAGTGGAAGCTGTTGTTGTAGTAAGTTCTTCCATCTTTTCAAAATATCTGCAAATAAGTGTTATTATAAAAAAATTAAGGGTCTTATCTGAAAAGAAAACTCGAATATAGAACAATCATTAAGGCAGCCCATTTTCTCTGAAACGACCTTTTATAACACGTTCAGAAGGAGGCGGAGTCCAGCCGTATCAATGGGAAGACAGAAGAAATAGCTCTAAAGTTGAAGTCCTTATGAATGCAGCGTGTATAGGTTGCTTCGATAAGAAGAAGACATTAAAAAGCCAAAAAAAAACGCCTTGTCTTCAAATTACTCCTAAAGGGGCTTTAGAGCTACTGGAGGGATTACTAAATAGCTCAGAATCTTCCGAAAAGCGTGGAGGAGACTGATGCTTTTATTCTCATCGTAATATTGATAAGAATTAAAAAACTCGTGGCCCACAAAAAAACCAGCTCAGACCTTCAGGGGCCCGTGAGTCACGGAAAAAGGTACCTTTGAGTAGGGTCCGCAAGCCAATTCTTCAAAACGATCCAAAAAATATGCTTTTACACTGTTCGGTAGAGGAGACTGTCCATTTTCATAATCCGTTCAGTTTCAGAAAAAAGCTCCACTAAGAAAAAAGTTATGGCCAAAAAACGAGCGCGCGCGGCGTTCAACTGGAGGCAAAATCTCACGGTTTACCCGCTGCCGCACGCTTTCTTTTTAAATGTTTTTGCGCATTTCTGAACCGTTTTCGAATCGGTTTTTTGTTCTGAGAAATTGTCCAAACTGAGCTTAACGTTTTGGCATAAATCTTTTGTACAATCCTCATAAGAATTTTTGATAAAATATCAAAAAACTACTTAGAAAAAAGGTCAGAAGGAATTTTCAGCTTATTTTTTTCTTTTTTTCTAATCAGAAAAAAATTATTATCATTTGGTTTGAAAAAAAGAAAAAAATGAAAAAAATAATGTTATTTCGAAATAAAACGGGAAAATGTGTAATTTGACTCCGAAAAACGGCTCCTGCAACATTTAAAAGGGCGCATCGGTGTGTTTGACGCAAACACAGCTACGAATGCTTGCACGAATTCTTCCAAAATTTCAAAAAAAATTGCCATTTTTTCGAGGTTTTCAAAGCCGTTATTTTTTTCGCGTCGTTAGATTTTTTTCATAATTTTTTCATTGATAGAGTTTTTAACGCTTAATAACCTGATCAAAAGTATAGACGCGATCCTATTCTCTCATGCGTCAACGAGGCAGGCGAAAAAAAGGAGGTTTTGGTAAAATCCAAATATAATTTGATTCACTGTCCCAATAATTATTTTTCATTTTGAATTTTTTTGTTTGTGAGCACATTTTGAGTTTTTTTAAATCAAATAAAAGGTATACCATGTCGCTGAAATTTTTTTCGCATTTCAGCTTCAAAGTTTGGTGTCACTTTACAAGCTTCGATTTTTCGCGTCGTTAGATTTTTTTAAATTTTTTTATTCAAAAAAATAAAGAAAGTGTTAATGTATAACATACTCAAAATTCGGAAGCGTTCCTCACTTGGTTTTCAGAAACGCGACGATTCTGTGAAACTTGTTTTGGTGGCGTGAAGGGGCGGGGCTTTGCGCCCCCTACCTTTGAGGAATATCCTGACATGGGACTTTGCCAGGCACCTTTCCTTCTGACCTTTTTTTTTAGTACCTTTAAGGAGGAATAAAAAAAATGAGGCCGAAAAAAGGTGAAGAAAGAAGATTTTGAGAAACTTTTGACACCTTTTTAGAAAAATTGGAGCATGTGTGCCGAGCCGGACAGCTGATGTGCAAAAGGACTTTTATTTCAGAGCTGAGAAGAAAAACGGCAGACCAGCGCGCATGTCAAAAAACAAACGGCAGACCAGCGCGGACGCATCAATTTAGAGAGAATGACAATCTTGGAGTGACCAGACTCGTACTCTCCTCGGTCTCCACACTGTCTAGGACCTGCGGGCTGGCATGACAAATTTAACGGAAAACGGCAGACCAGCGTGCAGGTCCTCAGACAGTGTGCAAAGCGAGGAGAGTACGAGTCTGGTCACTCCCAGTTTGCCATTCACTCTAAATTGATGCGTCTGCGCTGGTCTGCCGTTTGTTTTTTGACATGCGCGCTGGTCTGCCGTTTTTCTTCTGAGAGTACGGTATGGACTACGCAAACACCTTCCAACCACAAACCCATCATTTTACGACACTTTCTTTAAAATAGTTTCTGTTTAAATTCTTCCACTTTTCCTTCTATATTTCTTGAATTTTTGTTGTTTTCGCAGAAGGTGTTAATGTTTTAAATATTTGGCCCTTTAAAGTTTTTTTATTCATCACCAGTTTTTACACAATTTTCATTGATTTGCACGAAATAAAAAATTTTATATTCATTTGGTTCAAATATTTTTATGTATGGTGATCCAGCTATTGTTCGGGATTTTTTTTTAAAAGTGATTCGCTTGCTTCTGAGCTGTCATTCAGGCCGTTTTCGTTTTATACTTCATTTCAAACTCCAGAGGAGGTTCATGGTCTCTCTGACGCTTTGAGATGACTATTCTGGAGAAAGCGCTTCAGAACGCTGTGAGAAGGAAAATTTGAGAGGAAAAAGAGGACACGAGAAAGTTTACCGTTGAGAAATCGAATGAAATGTGAGTTTTTTTTTTGAACGAAGTAACTGACCATTGTTAAAAATATGAGTATTCTAAAATTTTAAATTTCCAAAAGATCCTTTTGTGACTTAATTCCAGAAAAAGAGATCAATTTTTTTAAAGCTTGCTTCAATGAACAAAAGAAAATGGAGGATGAGACCAGAGAAATTTAAATTAAGGCTCAAATCGAAAAAAAAACACAAAAATAGCAAGTAAGTTAGAAATTTTAAATTTTTTTAAAAAAAAGTGAACTGTCTGCAATTTTTTGGAAGGCGAAATTTGAAATTGAACGTGAATTATCTTGATGAACACTAAAAGTAGCAGTCGAAAAAGATTTCCAATGCGTAAGTAGTCAAAAAAGAGGCGAAATTTTTGCAAAATCGGAAATATCTTTTTAGAAGACGTCTTATGATTTGGAGCGGATAATTTGAGACTGTCCTTGCAAGTTTGAAATAAAATGATGATAATTAATTTTCTCACGATTTTAAAAAATAGATGTCTGGGCTTTTTTTCAAATTTTCAACTACAAGAAAGTTTTCTTTGAAGACAAAAACGTCAGGTTTTATGGTTTCGAAAACCTTTTTTCAATCTTTCAGAAATTCGACTTCGCAGAAATATATAAATAACCAGTTTCTTCTGATCTGTTTTTAAAAAAGACTTGAAATTAAAAATTTTTTTCACAAAAAAATATGTTTTGATTTTTTTGATCGCTATCAAACAAAAATAGAATTTCCTGTGTTACGTTGAAAGGATTTAGTTATACAAAAGAACAAAAAAAGTTTTAATAAAAGCTCTTAAGAGAAAGTTCCTTTGATCTCATCCTTATTGTTCGAGTTTCCAAGAACCTTGTGCACTTATAAGCCTTGCAGACGTTTGGAAAATGCGGATATTGAGAAAATGAGCCTTTTTTCCATCAATTCGAGACGAATAATTTTGGCCGAAATTAGAATAAATGACGTTGGTAATGACACAGTTTCTTTGAAAAGGTGCAGCGAAATTCTGAATTTTAGTACGATTAGCATTCCAGTTCATTATGTAGAATCGATCACGGAACTGCTGATATTTCATAACGTTTTTTCTATAGAAAAGATTAATAAAAATAAATTTTAAGACTTGTCAGGATGAAAAAACAGAATGAAATAGTTCTGAGATTTAACTGATTTCGCTCAACTATCATTATGCATTTCTGGAGTTTCCTGTTGAAATTTTAAAAAAAGAAATAGATATTATAAGACAAATAAGTAGGGTTTTACATTACTCTACGCGTTTTCGTGAAGAGTACTGACTAGTGAGCAAAAACTTTGAAAAAGAATGACCTCTTAATTGTTTTAGAAGGAGAAACCTACGCTTTCAAAGTTAATGAATAAACATTTCGCAACTTCAGTTCACAAAATGAAGTCCTAGGCTGAAATTTTCTCAATAAAAACAGAGGTTTTCTGAAACTGACACGACTAATTAGGGTTTCTGCGCGCAGAAATCGTAACCCAAGGAAAATGAGATCTTCTCAACAGAGTCATAAATATACACTTGTAAACTTGTGTGGAATTACAAAGAAGAATCTTTTCTGCGTGGTCATTTATTAATTATTATTTGGAATTTCGAAATCGGTGCACGGACGAAGGATAGTTGAAATAATTTTTTTAAATCATAGAAATTTCAAGATTTTCAGAAATTTGAAGTTTCTTAAAAGTTTGCAATAGAACTTTTTGGCGATGGACATGGAAGACCAACATTTCCATCTATCGGTCGATTTTTGCTGTGGTTGGCTAACAAGTTTAGAATAATTAGAATCGTAAAAAAAACTTATTACTGAGATTAACAATTGAGAGTAATCGAAAATCAATGGAATATATGCCTTATTTTGCTCTGAAAACGCGGGAAGTTCATTTTTTCAAACTACATTTTTCTGCGGTAAAAAGATGATGCTTACGGTATTTTTTTTGTAATCACAAGGATCATGAATAATCATAGCATTTTCTAACCATGGAATGCTCCCTGGACTTCTGAACGAGGCTAAGCTCACATGATGTAGTTTTTTTACGCTGGTTGCGAACGTGTGCTTATTAGAAGTGGCCCTTAGGCCTGTAAAAAAAGGTAGGGGCTCTCAAAGTCGAAAAATTTGATGCCTCCGATTGAGTTCTTTTTTGGAAGGTATAAAGATGCTGTCCCACTGGTAACGGAAATTTTGAGACCTTGATTTGAAAAAAAAATGTTTGATTTGTTTCTCATCAGTTCGATCGAATTGTATCAGTTTGTACTTCTTCTTTTCTTTATTCTCTTGTTTTGAGCCAACTCGGGTGGGTTCTCTGAACTTTTAACCATTCAAAATAAGTTATTATTTGAATTTATTATATTGAATACAATCGAGGTAAGGTGGGTGAAAAAAATACAATTTTTCTTGAAAATAATTTTTTTAATTGTCCTAGTGCTAGTACTAATCGACAAGAGTTCAAAAAAACGTATACAAAAGTTCAAATCCTCGTAATTGGGCTGTAAAAAGTTACAATAACAGTTTCCGATTTTTCCCGAAATCATCTACATTTCCTAATTGTGAGACCTTGTATTTGAAAAACTACAGGGGTTTTTTAAAGAGGGTTTTCAGAGTTTTTGCTTTGAGAACTTTTTTCATTTCAATTTTTGGCTTATCTGTAGAGAATCTCACAAATTCAAATGCTTAAGGGCGTATTAAAACCGGTCCTAATTTCACTCTAATATAATTCTTGCTCAAGCTATGTCTCTTTATTTGTAACTCATCTTGTTTTATGTATCAGAGTGAAATAAATAAATATTCAAATATTTAAATGCTCGAAATGGGATTCGTATAGGTGACAGTGACTGTTCGCAAGTTAGCCGAGCCAATTCCGAAGATCTGTTCCATTTTCTTCCTGTAAGGCCTCACGAAAACCAAAGAAGCAATCGGAGTCAACACGGAAATGCACATTAAAGCTAGGGGAGTGGTGTATTCGACAGCCGGGTGCTTGAAAATGTTGAGTTTTCCGAGGGCGAAAGTTATGACGCCGATAGCGAAGCACATCGGAATGCAGGCTTGGTAGGTCAACGCCTGTAAAGGATCTTGTACCCAGAAGGAAGATAACTTTATGAGTTTTGAAATTTCGCGAAATTTTTTGCTCAAATGAACTGGAGTTTTTCCCATGTTAATTACTTACGTGATTTTTTTAGTTCGCGGTTTGTCAAAACTAGAAAAGAAAACTTAAGGAAATTACTGTTTGCCTTTTTCAAATTATTTTTAAGCTCAGATTTAAGATATCAACGGCATTCTAAGAAGACGACAGACGAATAGAAAATTCCCATTTATAATCTCTAAGGACGGCCGTTGATGCTTTGCTTTTCCTCATTTTGAACACTTTTATCATTTTGAACGAACCTTCAACAATTGCTTGTGCATATTTTTTGTCTCGTTGCTCATAATCGAACTGAAATCGCGGAGCTTCTTGACGATCCTCATGCGAATCAGAAGAATCGCCGCATAGATCGGAAAAATCGGGAACGAAACGTGTGAAGCAGTGAAAGTTGCTCCGAAACTCGAAATATCCGCATATCCGCTGACCATCCCATTTTGAGTGTCGTATTCTATTGAGCCATTCATAACTTTGTCCAGTTCTTCTGGAGTACTCTCAGCCAAGATTGCGTTCACCTTAAGTTAGGAATCCTCGAATAATTGTCAAAAAGTTTAAGAGAAACCAGTTGAAAACAGGATGGGATGTAGATAATGGCCAGGATTATCAGTACGACTCGTTTCTTGGGAGCTATACTCAATAAAATGTAGCATCTGTAGGAAAATGAGAGCAGTAGGGAGTATAACGAGTGGGTGAGAAGGTGGAGCATGAAGTTGTACCTGAAAATTTGAAAGTTTATTTAAAAATAAAGTTTAATAACCCAATAAAACAAGCAGAAGGGCTGATAAATCGACAAGGGCCATAGGAGACATAGATCAGAGAAGTTGAAGATGGCATTGTTCTGAAAAAAACTTGGAACTTGAGAAGGAATCTTGAGAAAAGAAGAACACTTTTTGTGATTATTATAATTTTTTTCAGATTGATTCGTAGATAGTTATCAGTTTTTTTCACCAAAATCATTCTTTTTCGAATATAAAGAAAAATATACGTTTCAGTGATTCGATGAATAATCTTAAAAACGCTTTTGCTCTACTTATGCAGTAACGAAAAGAGTCAACTAGAGAACTTTTTTTTTGCCCCCGGTTGAACTTTTGCTGTAACTTTGCTGAAGTGTACTTTAGGACCTTCAGATTGCAGAATAGGTTTTTTTTTTCGGATTATGAAGCTTAAAAGTCAGGAATGTATCAACTTCAAAACTCCAATACCCCTTCCCCTCTTCCCCCTCTTCCCCCACAAGCACAATCTTTCATGCCATTCAAGGGGTTCAAATTAGACTAACTTTTTTTCCCAAGCTAGAAAATCTTCCGAAGATACAGGAAAAAAATGTTAATTTTTTTATTGGAAGGCTCTGATCACAAAAATACCTTTGCTGAGTGAAAATATCCGCAATACAGGACAGAAAGTCGGCGATTGCAAAGTTGACGATGAGCGTTCCATAAGTTTGAATCTTTTTCGGAGTGTAGAGAATAACGAGGTACAGTAAAACGCCATTAAAAAGACACCCAAGCGAACCGGCGATAAAGTGGAACGTTGTGTATATCAACGTTATCATGCCCATTTTTTCTTGAAAAATTGAAAATTGTCTTCCTTCTTTAATTATTTTGACACGAGCAGAAGTCAAAACAACACCGAGAGAATAACAAAACTGATATCATTTGGAAAATGAAAAAGTAATGATGTATCTTGAAACTTTGTGGAGTTTCTCAGAAATTTCACAAAAAATAAGAGAAAGGGAATTGAGCTTTTGAAGAACTCAAACCCATTTTTATTTATAGGCCCTACACAAATCGCAAACAATTAGGCATAAATTACCAAAGGACACGCTCTAGGGCAAGTTTTATTTTTCCGGAAAGACAGAAGCTGAAAAACAATCGGTATATTTATAGAAAAAGATTAATCTTTCCTAGAAATTTCGAAGAGAATTAACTCGAAATCATAAAAAAAGCCTAGTTGTGTCCCATATTTTTTTGCGAGTCTGTTCAAAGCCGTAGTGGTCATTTTTAGTGTATTTAGCTTTTTAATTGACTATCAAAAAAATCATTTTTTTATAAAAAAATTTGAAATTTAATCGAAGGTTTGAATTTTTTTCGAAATTTGCAGCCTGAGATATGCACTTTGAAAAGTTCTGAATCATCGAAAACCATGATTATCTTGATTTTCGAAATTAGTCGGAAATATCCCTTGTGCGGCCTAATTCCTTGGATTCTGCTAGAAGATTTAAAATACTTTTTTATTTTTTTTTTGAAAACTTGGTTCAATCAGTGAACCATGTGTATGATTTGTGCGGTTTTTCTCTTTATCTGCTTTTTTTCAATTTTTTTTCAAACCAAATAGAAACGATTCTTCATCTTCGAGAGAAATTAAAAGTCCTTTTTTGAAGCTTTCATTTCGAATGAAAAACCTTGTGTAAGTTGCTGCACTTTTTTCCAAATGCGTTGAACTTTGTTTCCAAAATTTATTCAAGTGGATTAAAGCAGAATTTACTTTTAGTGACGTAAAAAATAGTACAAAGCGGGAAAAAGATTAGGTAAGCGTCATGGTATTATTAGTAGTGGATACGACAATTACTGAAGGTTTATCGGCGCTAAATCCAAGAGATTTCTTGATTTTTTCCCCATAAGGTCGGACAAAAATCAGTGAAGCCATCGGAGTTAAGACGGAAATCAACATAAGTCCAGTGACAGTTGTGTAGCCCAAAGCGGGGTGACGGACGATTTTCATTTGCTCCAAAGTGAAAGAAACTACTCCGATTAGGAAGAAGATCGGGATGCAGGCTTGGTAGGTGAGAGCCTGAAATCGGAGCGAATTCAATGAATAAATCAATAATTCTTAATGAAGACAGAAAATCGGACTGTCGCGTGGTGGGAAAAAAGCATAAAAATGCCAAGCTAGCCTCGGAATCAAAAAAATCATTTTGAGTCAACGTATGCGGCTGACAAACTAAATCCGACTGGATAGAGAAGAAAAATTAAAATTGGAAAACGAGTTGGATCAAATTTCTTTCAGCACTTCTGAGGGTAAAATTGCCTGGCAGAGCAATAAATACCGGTAGCTCAACGAGTAGTGGCCTCGTCCAGCAATCCGGAGATGAAAGGTCGACGCCTCTATGGGTTTTTGTGAGTTTTTCATTATATCGTGATGAAAAGTTTGTAAATTTCTGGCCACCTGATCCGTACGGAAATTCGGAGAAAAAAAGAAAAAAAATTAGTTTTTCTTGAACTTCAAAGTTTAAAACGAACCGTCAACAGTTGTTTGTGCAGGTTTTTCGTCTCAGAGCTCATATTCGCACTGTAGAAACTCAAACTTCTGATGATCCTCGAGCGAATTATCAGAATTGTAATGTAGATGGGGATAATGGGCAAGGAGACGTCCCAAACGAAAAATGCGGCCCCAAGAGTTGTCATATCCGAAACGCCGCTGACCATCACGTAACGAGCTTTGAAACCCGGGTCGTGTTCGTATAAAATATCCAAAACTTGGTCGGTAGGTCCTTGGATTGAGGAGGATATCATCTGAATAGAGTATAGTTTCGAAATCTTTAGGAACTCTTAAAAGTACAAAAATAATTTGTTTTGCTCTTTGGGCTATTAAGAAATTCTACAAGACTACAGACAGTCTAACTAGTCTGCGCCCTCTTTTCTCTCTCTAGAGCGGTGATAAAAACATGAAAATAATTTGTAAAGACGAGAGACCAAAGAAATCAGACTTTCTCAAGTTTAGCGAATGAGATATGTGAAAGCCAGTTTTTTCCACTATTTTGAGATTTCATTCATTTTACGTGTCTTGAGACATTCTGCCTGTCCAAGCTCTCTTTTCTCTCACCGGCGTGGGTCATGATCAAAAATAAGAGAGCGCAGACAGGTCAGACAGTTTTCATTCTGGCTTGAATGGAATATAATTTTTTCCCGTAGAAATTTTATCGTAGACCTACCAAACTGACGGCTTAGAGTCTAGACCAGAGTATATTTTCCCCATGAGCTACAAATTCCAATTCCAAAAGTCAAGGCTACTTCCCATAACTTCAGAAAACATACCAAGTGACAAAACGACGGGAAATAAACAAATAGTAGTATTACAAGAACTGTCCGCGTTTTGGGAGCGTCCCGGAAAAGGATATAGAATCTGAAGGAGAAGGAAAATAACAAGGAATAAAGTGAGTGGAGAAGGAGATGCAACATAAAATTGTAGCTGTAAATTAATTTAAATTTTAAGAAAATTAAGAAAAACTGAACCCTATGTAGCAATAAGTGTGGCCGAGAAATTGACAAGGGCCATTTGACAAGAAAATGACGGCCGATTGCTCGATTGGTACTGTTCTGAACAAGATATTAAGGTTTACTGTTCCTAGGTGAATCTGATCTAAAAACTTCGAAAAAAGTTAGGAGAATAAAAGTTCTTTCAAGTTTCGAGGCTTTCACCGAGAACACGGTCTCCGGGCTCCAGCAAGACTCCAGGGCTTGTTATGATCTCAATTTGATCAACTACACTTTTTTTTGATAGCAGATGCCCTTTGAATAAATGATGGTTCTGAACAAATTTTTAAAATTACCTTTGAAGAGTGAATATATCGGCCAAACAAGACAAAAAGTCGGTGAAAGCAAAGTTCATTATTAAAGTAGCGTAGGTTCGAATTTTCTTCGGCGAATGGAATCTGGCCAGATAGATCAAGAATATGTTGACAAAACACCCGAAAGCGGCCACTATGACGTGAAATGTCATGAAAATCGCCTTGATATTGTCCATTTCAAGTGAAAGAATAACTTCCCAGGCTCCCAATTTACGGAAATTAACGAGATTGGCTTTCAAGCGTAGATCCGCCCTCTACATACAAATTTTATTTTATTTTTTTTCAAAATGAATAGTCGTAAAAAAAGAGGCCTTTTTGGAATGTTTTTGGAAACTAATACGGAACCTGATTATCAGAGCCGGTCATGCGTGCTGTTTTGCGGAAGAGGACGTCTAGGAAAATGTTCAGCATGAAGTTTTTTTGAGCTTGACATCAGACAAAAAAATATGGTGAAAAAAACAAAAAAAGAATATCATTTTTTTAGAAAAGCTGAAAATAGGTATTTCACTGTGCGCAGTTTAAGTAGTTTCTGTTCGGCAAAAATTTTGAGCGTCGACTTTAAATGTCCATATACTTTCTGAAAGTACCGTATTTGAATTGGTTCATGAAGCAAATTTGTAGCAGAACTCGGAAATAACGCAAAAAAAAAACTTCGGAAATTTTTTTCGTACTAACAATGGTCTGGTCCCTTTATTGGAAAAAAATTTCAAATAAAATTTGGACAAAAAAAACAATGAAAGTATCACAGATAAAATTAGAGAGTCGAGAACAAGTGGAAGATTGGATGAGGTATCAGGATGTTAATAAAATAAAAAAATAAAACAAAAATGAACAGAAATATACAAAAAAAGCAATAATAAAAAGAAAAAAACTGTGGAACATGAATCGAGTTTTCAAAACTTACAGTTCATTTGAGCATAGATATATACATATATATATTGAAAAAAACTGGAGGTTGGACCTCAAAAAAATAGCCGAAAATTGATTAGAAAAACGTTCAAAAACGTAATTGCAAAAACTCTCAGTAATTAAACTAATAGTTGATATTTCGAAATTCGACAACTCCAAATCCCATGGTCGTATTTAGAATGGTTCAACGCGTCGCGGCTGAATAAAAAACGCCCGACTCAAAGCAACTTGCTCTACTGGACTCTTCTTGGACGGTTCAAGCCATTCCAAATGCGACCACGGCGTTTCAAATTCTAGTCTTCTATGCAACTTGCACTGTAGCGCTGACTACAACAACCGAACTTCTTGAGCTGGATTTCCAGATTTTCTTACGATACGGTCCTACAAAAACCAGAGAGGCCACAGGAGTGAAAACGGCGATTAGCATTAACGAAAACGGTGTCATATATTCGAGGGCCGGATGGTCCATGATTTTGAATTGCTCGAAGACAAAAGATAATACAGATATTATGGAGAAGAATGGAATACAAGATTGATAAGTTAGAGCCTGAAAAAAGGCATTTGAACTGAAATCAGAAAAGTGTGTAGCTAGAAAAAGGTCACACGTGAAATGGCTCGAAGTGATGAAGAAAGAGATTGCTTTAACGCTTTGCGCAAGATTTTTTTCGTTCAGTCGAAATTACCCGAGCCGTTCTACGTGCGGTCAGGTAAAACATAAAAACTCACCCTCACGAGTTGCTGATGCAAGCTCCTAGTGGTGCTACTCATACTGTTCGAGCTCAGAGTTTTGATAATCTTCCCACGAATGTAGAGAATTATAAAATATATCGGAATGATTGGGAATGTAATGTGCAGTGTCGTAAAAGTCGCAGCAAAAGTGGTAACGTCGTCGATTCCGCTTATCATCAAAGTTGAGGTGTCTTCATCTGGATACCGACGGTGCATTAGTTGCTCGAGTTTCTCGGGAGTTCCTTGAGTTGTGTTGGATACGATCTGAAGACATTGGGGGGATTAGAGCGCGAGCAGGTCATTCAAAGCTTTTTTTTATTTGTTGATTAACGAGAACTTCAGAAAGGAGCACGATGAGCTCATATCGTAGGTTAATACGATAAGAACGGTAACTACAAACTTATCTTCTTTAACTGATCTCAAAGCGATAAACTCGAGAAGCACATTTTTCAAAGCATATTTTTTCCGTATATAATCTTTGACTTGGAATTTCACCAAACGACATTCCGCTGTTCCGCTGCGTGCTTTTGCGCGCCTTTAATTTTTCATTTTATTTGAAAACTCGACCAAGACGTGTTCCTAGTGAAACAGTCCATCTATCAGCAATGAGAACCAATTCAAAGCGAGACCGAGGTTCGCAAAGACGGTTCGAGGCGCAGCGGAACAGCAGATTGTCGTTCCGTGAAACTTCAAGTCGTGGCACACAGACTATAAGATTTTTTTTTCTCTTACCAGTTGGAATAACGATGGAGCGTACACAAAGGCGATGATTATCAATAGGTTCCGTCTTCTGGGGAAAGTATGCGATAAAATATAATATCTGTATGAGAACGATAATAATAAGGAGTATAAAGAATGCGTTAGAAGGTGAAGCATGACGTTGTAACTGAAAAATCATATTTGTCTCACAAATGATGGCTAAAAGCGACGCGACCGCAACGTATCGAGTCATTTTAAATGCAACCAAAGTAAAAGAAACTAACCCGAAAAAGCAATAATTACGGCCGAAAAATTGACAAGGACCATTTGAAACGAGAAGAGCAGAATTTTCTATGGGTATAATTCTGAAAAATATTGAAAAATATATTGCAACAAGGCCTTTGAATTTACCTCTGTTGAGTGAACATATCCGCAACACAAGATAGGAAATCACTGAAGGCAAAGTTGATGATCAAGGTAGCATAGGCTTGAATCATTCTCGGCGAGTGGAAAAATGCCAGATAGATTAATGTCAAGTTGAAAATACAGCCGGAAAGGCCGACAAACGTGTGGATTGCCATGAAAACGATCCGAGTCGTGTCCATTTCTGAATAAGACTTTTTTTCTGGTTTTTAATCGTTTAGTTCATCCATATAAGCTCTTGGAGTTGATCAAAGTAGTCTGTGTTTAAATTATCACTGCAATAAAGTTACAAATCCTACCTATGATACGCCGAAAACTGTAATGAATCAACTTAAGAACAGAGTATTCGAAAAGAAAAGCCAAAAGTGCGACAAGAAAGTTGTTGAGAGTATCTAAAAGTTCAATTCCACTTGAAAACACTCGTTATCTGCTTTTTGATTGGTAAAAAGATCCGAAATGTTTGTGATTCACTATAAAATTGATTACAAGCTGTTTTTTCACTCTAGACTTTGCTACGGTTGGACAAATTTCATCTGAAATTTGTAATTCTTAGAAAAAGGCGGGGTTTCTCGCGGGAAACTTTGGCGCGGAATCTCAAAGAAGATTATTTCTCAGAAAGGTATTTGAAAAAGGAACTAAAAAGAAATTAGTTTTAAGTATTGAAGACTGTCGAATTGCGATGAACTATTGGAAAAGAGGCTGTATAAATTTCAAGGAAGTATTTAAGCCGAAAATTACGCCCAACAGAACTGTTTAATGCTAGAAACACATTGACTATATTTTTGGAACTGATAAACTGTTTAGGAACACGATTTTATCTCTCTGATTCTTAGAAATGAATGAAAAAAGGGAAACCAGCGCATTAATAAAGACCAAAACTGTTAAATTTGACCTTTTCTAAAAAAGTACAAAGAATAAACTCGTGTGTTTTTCAACACCTATAATCGACCCTCAATGACGTTTGAACACTTGGAAAATTTGATGCAGAAGTATGTAATTAAAAAAAAGAATAAAGTTTAAAAAAGGATTGAGGGTGAAAAGAATAATTTCTAGACGAATCGAAATTCCTTGAACCTACGATCCAGTTATTTTTTGTCTTTTTTAAAACTCATAGGGAGCTTTTGCTCAAAGTTGAAATTTTTGAAAATACCAGATCTTGGAAAATGTTTAATAGTTGAAAACTTTTTAAAAGATTATATTTAGTATGGGGATCAAAAAGATGATATTCATTATAAGAATTTATCAAGTTTTGAATCGAAAAATAGTTTTGTCTTCATCAATTCGTCTTTTAAACCCATGAAATTATTTTCGTAAAAATTTAAGGAAAGCAAATCTTTAGAAGGCGATAAATTCCGTTTGATTTTTTTAATATCAACTAAAAAAACCTATTTTTTTCGATGACCTTTCGAATAAATTACATCTGCAGGCACTTGACTCGACTTGGAAAAAAATGAGAGTTAACGCTGAATTATGTCTAAATAAGAACTTTTTCCAGATGATTCGAAAATTCTCGAGTGCTTTGAAAACCAATAATCAAAGTATAAAGAAAAATCAGGTTTTTTTGAGTTATTTAAAAAAACGACTAAAAAGTTCAATTTTTTTCTTTTAAAAAAAATTCGTATTTTTCGATGTTGCCAGCGCATTGAGAATTGGAAAAAGAGTGACTAATCGAATGGAAGGCCATCCGAATGAAAAAAACACCTATAAGAGGGGGGAGGGGGGACTGTTGCTCATTAAATTTAATGAATTACGTAGGTTGTAGTGTCGTGCGAAATTTTGATTTCCTAGACTGGCTGGCACCAAAAGTTGGGCTTTAGAAAAAAAATGTTTATTTTCTTTTTCTGGGATAAGCAATGTAGTGGGAAAGAGCGTCTGTGAACTTTGAGAGGGTGGCTTCTAAGGAACATTAAACAAACAAATAAAAGAGCGAATTTGGAAGCCGATGGTCGCATGTGGAATGGCTGCCTTTCGAAGCGTTTGCTTCAACGTGCCTGACCCTAAACGACTCCCTCAAAGAAAAGCACAAAGATAAGTTTCGAACCGCAGCGCGACCGCGACGCTCTGATCCATTCACAGTATAACCACGGCATTTCCATTCGAATTTTTTCTGTTACCAACAACTTTTTTCGAGTTCAGCAGTGAAAAGGTCTTGTCGAAAATCGGAAAACTCAACATTTAAAAAAAATCGGACGTTTTGACGACTGAAAATTGAAAAACGTGACCTAAATATTTTGAAATACAAAATGCGATTTTACATCCAACTAAAGTTCGCGGCTTTTTCAATTTTTCGAAACTGAAAAGCAGCTTTTTTCGGTTCGTTGAATTGAGAGGAAACGACGAGCGTGACCGTCATACATCATAAACGAACTTTATCAGTTTAACTAACCTTCTTTCAACTTTTTCAAAAACGAAACAGGAAGTAATTTTTCGAGCAAGGGTCAAAGGATTGGCATAATGAACAATGTTCCAAGTATTTTGTTGAAATTTTCTTTCTGGGAACGCTAAAAATCAGTTTTCAAAGGTCCCACTTTCTCAGGACTACGATTTTTTGTTTTTTGAAAAAAATCTAGACGGCTTTTTCCGGTGTTCAGGAAAAAAAATGGCTATTTATTCGAGGTTATCAATGAAAAAAATTGAAATTAAATTTTTTTTAATTTCAAATTTTTCATTGAAATACGTGTCATACTCACGAGGACAGCATTTGAATCAAAACAACGAATTCCCAAATGTTTCAAAATCTTTTCCCGATAAGGTCCAACAAAACAAAACGATGTAATCGGTGTTAACACACAAATAATGACTAGAAATAACGTGGCAATACTTTCCAAAGCGGGGTGATGGAAAATATCGAATTTCAAGATGTTGAAAGAGACGGTAGCGATAAAAAAGAAGCTCGGGATCACGGCTTGATAAGTGAGGGCCTGGAAAAAAATTCCATCAAAAGTATAATCTACTACTATTTTTGGTTTTTATATATTTTCAGCATTTTTATATTTTGGTTTTTATATATTTTCAACATCTATTTTTTCAGTTCGGAGTCTATTTCCATCTTCGTCTCACACGTTCTACGCATACTGGAATCGATTTCGATACGTTTTTAAATAAATAAGTTTTTATTGATCATGCGGAAATTTTCCAGGTTCTTATCAATGCACGGAAAATGAATCGGTTTGTTGAAAGTTGGACTTCAGCTTCGAAATTCAGTTCTAAAACAGGTACGCTCTTTTTTAACGCATGAAGAACTTTGCAACATTTCTTAAGTTTCAAAAAATGAGATCACTTGATTTCTGAGCCTCACAAACATTAGCTTCTCGTTTTTGACCTATTTTATAGTTGATAATTTACTAAATAAGGCGAAAAAAGATCAATAGCAAGACGTCTTGCCAAACACTGTGGTGACCCTTCCAATTGTTCTAAAAACTTACCCTAATAAATTGCTGATGGAGGATCCGTGTAGCGGTACTCATTGGGTATTCTCTAAGAATTTTAATTATTCTTCCGCCGAATCAACAGAATCAGAATATAAACAGGAATTATTGGAAACGAGACGTGAAACATGATAAATAACGGTCCAAATGAGTTCAAATCGTCAACGCCGCTTATCGTTGTTTTTCCTGGCTCGAAGTCTGGGTACCGAGTTTTGATCAGCTTTTGTAAGAAATCCTGGCTTCCTTCCGTTGTGTTGGAGACGATCTGAAATAGGTTTTAGTCGGGAAAATCGGTGGGAAAGTTCGTCTTTTGGTTGGCTCTCGTTTAGGGTCTGAGAAAGTAGTTCCTTTGTTTTTTGGTTGAAATAAACGATTAAGTAAAATCCAACTACGTGATCTACAATTTTAAATCAAAGAAAGAAAAGTTAAAATTTTTTCGATAATCTTTCTAGAAACGAACGGAAATTCCGAGAATTCCCTGTTTCGGACTTTTTTTTTACTTAATTTTCATTATTCGGACATAAAATAGAATCACAGATCTGTAGATTGCTATGAAGTTTTGCTTGTACAATTTTTCAAGCCCTTTTCTTAAAATACACCTGTCATCATTTTTATGATCCAACCAAGATTTTACAAACTGAATGGTTATTCTCAAACCGCTAAGAGATTTACTAGAGGTCTAAATTTCTACAGTGATCAGGGAAAATCGAATATTTTCGCATAAATATACTAATGTTTCAATATTTTTGAAGACTGTTTTTGCAAAATTTCAAACCATCACCAATTGAAATAACGAAGGCGTGTAGACCAACGCAATTATTAACAACAATGTTTGCTGCCGCGGAGTGGAACTAATTAGAATGTAGTACCTGTAGGAAAATGAGAGCAGTAATGAGTATAATGAGTGGGTAAGAAAGTGCAGCATAATGTTGTACCTGAAAAAATTGCGAATTAAAAAAAAATAGTTCAAATTTTGAACGTGAAAACATACCCGATGAAGCAAGAAGTGTGGCCGAGGAATTGGCAGGGACCGGTGAAGATAAAGACGGAAGATTGTTCGAATAATAACATTCTGTAACTTTCTATTTTTTTCGGAAAAAGGTTACCGGTATTTTTGAAGCTGCTTATGATATATTATAAACTTTTCTGATGCCAAAGGTCCTTATCAAAAGTTCAGTCTAAAATCGATTTCAAGCTGGCTTTAAGACTTGAAGGTTTTTTTTAATTGCGAAATAATCTTAAGAAATGAAATTCGGATCTGTTTGAGCCTTGAAAATACGAAGAGAAATAACCACACTATAAAAATGTCTGTGCTTAACATCAATTTGCAATAATACCTCCAAATTTGTCGGTTAGTGAGGTTGTGCATGTATATTAACAATCTGATAGAAAAATATTTACGAGAGAGTTCGAAAAAAAAACATGGAAACTTTCATAAAGGTCTCGAGGCCAAAAGAATTTTTCAGCGTATTTTGAGTCATTTAAAAAATTGTGAGTTTTTGGCCCCTTCAAACCCCTCAGTTAGGTTTTCAATTTCTACCTCTGTTGAGTGAAAATATCAGCAATGCTGGAAAATAAATCGGTGAAGGCAATATTCAAGATTAGCGTCGCATAGTTCCGGATTTTTATCGGCGAATGGCAACCGGCGAGAAAAATCAAAGTCAGATTCAAAAAACATCCACTCAACCCGATAACTGTGTGGATCGCAATAAATACAAACTTGTTGATGTCGTCCATTTCAATAGAAAAGAATGTAGACGGACGACAATCTGAGGGGCGTTATTATTTCCCTAGGCGAGATGATTATTTAATTAGTTTCCAAGTTTTTCCGTTTTCTAGGAATTACCAATGAGAAAAAGAGAGAATATGAGAGAAAAAAATGTTTTGAAATGAGTTTTTTTGATATTTTTGAAAAAGAAAGTTCATATAACCAAGTTTTTCAGCTAAAATTTGGAATTTTTCCAACCACTAGGAAGTAATAGCGGAAAAAAAGGAAATCTTAGAGAAAAAATTGTTTCATGACTTTTGAAAAAGGAAAGTTTAGATAGGCAAGTCTTATGCTAAAAATTAACGAGAACGCGCTGGTAAGCCAATTTTTTTTAAAACTTTTTGTCTAGGAAATTTATAACGACTCAAAGATCATTCTGATCTTCATTTTTCCTATGAAAAAAAAAGAACTCTGAGGCGTTATTACTCAATTGAAAAGCAGAAGAAGGGAAGAATAACTTTGATTTTATATGTCCTTTATTTACAGTCTCAGTAATTTAGTTGACTCTGAACTTTTTCTTTTCTTGAATTGATATGTAGAGGGAGGAGTTGGGAAAAATTGATCTCCGGAGATTTTCTGAAGTCGAATTTCTCCCAGCTTTGGAAGATTTTGTTTTTTTTTAGTTAATCCACCTAGTGGTCTTTTTCCCTCCCTGCAACATCACCATACCATTCCGATATTGCGAAAAAAGTAAATGAATTGAAATTGAAACGCAAGAAATTCGCAAAAAAAAGCAGGAATTCTGAAATTTTTTGATGTTTCTTTTTTTTCCAGTCTTGTCGAATAATTTTTTTCAGCGTTCCTGTCAACCTTTGGGTTCATTTTCATCATAAAATTTCGAAATTTTTCAAAAAACACTAGATTTGGATTGTCCGTTTCAAAGTTTCTCATCTGTTTACATTTAACTTTTGCTCCACTATTAGATGTCTTCATTTCCTTGAGGAAAGATATTGAGATTCAATGATTCGATAAAGAGTTTTCAAGAAGGGGTTGTTGACCAATCGAGAGGCGGAACGAACTTTGGAACATTCTTTAAATTTTCTTTTTTTTTTCCTGAAACACGTTGAGACGAAGGTGAAAGGGCGCATAGCCGGAGAGTAAGCCGAGAAAAGATCTCTCAGAGACGATACTCAGTTTTCCACCGAAAGTGCAAATATGGCGCCGTTTTCATTGCGACGTCGAGTTTGTTAGGATCGAAAGGGAGAGACACTCCGTCTACGAACTTCATGTGCAATACGGATCTCGACGACAAGAAGCCGACCGTACTGCGACTGAAAGTTGAACTTGAGAAATATTGAAGAAATCGGATATTTTGGCCTGTTCACAGAGATACGAAATGTGTGGAACTTTTAGGTCTCATCGATTATAAAAACGAGAGCACAGAAAAGCAGAAGAATCAATTCATTCGCTCAAGGAGGAACTTAAAACTTCGATTTGAGCTCCAGAAAATGATGGGATAGAAAATTTTTCCTAAAAACTGCAAATCCAGATTTTCTGCGCTCTCAGAAGGTCAGCGCACAGGAGGTCAGCTGGGCCAGTCGTAGCTCGAATATGATAATCCTGCCTAGCGTGGAATGATTATGTTGATTTTTTTTTTCAGTTTTTGATTTTTCTAGATAAACACGAGTTGGATCGAAGCCCTTTATAAAATGATTGAACATAAAACTCATGGAAAAAGTAGGATAGTTGAGAAAAAAGGAAGATTTATTCAAGAAAAAAAAGGACCAAATTAAAAAACTTTATAGAAATCATAAAAGTGTTGGAGGTGTTCGAAAAGCTAAAGAGAAAAATTGGAACCAGTTAGGGAAGATCACTGCATAAATGGAACTGAAGAATCCCTGAGGCTTAATTGGTTCTCAAGTAGAACAAGTAAATGAAATCTCGAAAAATCTTGAGATATATATACAACGATTTTAAAAAATTTAAGAAAATTGCGCGTTTCAATAGATAATACAGATGTCGGATAAATACAACAATTGATTCTCACACAGTGGAAATTGGAGAAAATTTCACATCAAAAACTCATTTTTCAACAAGCCTAACCTTGACTTCTACTCCGTCACGTTTGTAAAGAAATCCTTCCTCGGTTAGACTAAAGCAGTAGTTTTTCTTCTCTTCCAGTATTCTGAAGAACTCGTCACGACCTCCTTCGACCTTGTAGAAGTAAACCTTGCAGGGGGTTCGATCGTAGAACTTGGTATTCTGAAGTAATTCAGATTTACTAATAAAGAAAAAGAGAATGTAGATTTCTCAAGTTTCAAAAAAAAATGTTTTATCAACATAATGTTGATTAAAATATTAACCTCGAAAAAGCGGATCGCGGCCCTTGGACTGACGGTAAAGTCGACCATTTTGATTTCCAATAAGAAGAGACCAAAGCCTTTTTGTGACTTTATTGCCACTTCCTCCAAAACTTTGTTTCCGTTTTCTGTCTCATTCGGACGTCTACCAGTCCTTCGGAGCCTGGAATGATTTTCAGGGTCATTTCAACAGAACATTTTTTTCTTTTTGGTTTCTGAAGATTTCAATAGTTAGAAATTTATCGATAATCTAGAGGCTACGAATTCGAGTTTACTGCAAACTCCAACCAGAGCAGTGTTTACCTGGAGAGACTTCAGAGAAAGAGACATTCTTCCGCTTCTCTGCCCTCTCTTCAGATTGCCACTGTTCTCTCATTGCCTCCTTGTTTTGTTTTTGGAGATAATCAAAAAACTAACGATAAGAACGTTATCGCGTTCATTGCTTTGACGACTTGCAGAGGCGTGTAGGGAATGTCTTCAGCTGAAGCCATAATATCGAGGTGATGAATCTGAATCGAGAATAATAAACAAACAACTTATTTATCAGAAATATAACCTTTGGAGCACAGCTCAAAATGTAAAGAAGATCGAGGTTTTGATACGGGTATAAGTACTTGACCTGAAATTTTCTCAGTTTTTGTGTATAAATGTTTGATGTTTATTTGTTTAAAGAACTCGACATTCATCAACTTGGCCCATAAGGAAGCCCAAGTGCACAGTATATTTTTCGGGGGTTCGGGTTAAAGTTTAAAAATTTGAAAGTTTGATGCGAAAGTGCAAAACTTGAAGACTTTCTGTTTCTTTTTGAGTTTGGATTCAATCGTCGAAATTTTGGAAATTAAGCATGTTAGTTTTGAAAGATATTAGTTTCTAACGACCACAGTGGACACATTTCCTAACCTCCCGGACAGTCGAGAGCCACCAAACGGGCATCGTCGGGATAACCACCGATCTGACGCTGAGCGAAAGAAGTTCAGGCTGTAGGTCGACGATCACGTTGAAGAACTCGGTTTCCGAGGAGTTTTGTGTTTCTCCATACTCGCAATGGGTGTCCGGATTCGTGATGTTGACACTGTAGTCTGGATCGCCCAGAGGCGATTCTAGATTCTCAAACGGTAGCGGCTCCGAGTAGTAATTGATATCCATGTAAATACTTCTCAGGTGCAGGGTGCTGATCGGTAGGCGGCTGTAATATATTTCTCAATTAATTCAAAATTTTCACAATTTTGTGCCAAACTACGAAGCTACAAGTATGAGGTAGAAAAGGAGCAGTTCGTATCGAAGATGAGAATTTGAGTTTTCGAGTGTATAAGTTACAAACTTGAACTTGTCGCGGTGATCTTTGATGTAGTTGTACCAAGTGGAGCTGGTTGCAGAAAAAGACTTCAAAGTCGGTAAGTCCATTCTCATCGCGATTTGCTCTTGAATGTCGAAAAGCTCGGCCATCTTTCTGGAAAAATGATAAGTTTGGAAGGAAGCACTAACAAAGGGCGATAAAAAACGAGACAGAGATCAAAGGTTTCCTACGTTTGACCTAGAACGCTCGGAGGTCAAATAAGCTAGTCAGAAAATGAGAATTTTTCAATGACTTATCCTATCTTTCATTTTATAGATAAAAAAAGTGCTCAGCAGAGTACGGTTTCCTTCGAAGATGGATTTGAGAATGGAGAGATTTTGTGATCCGGTAAACCTAAGCGATAAACTTGGATTCGAAAATAAAGTTTGGCTAAACTCTTCAGGAAAACAAGGAAAAGCTCGTCGAAATTTTTTCCAGAGCGTATATGGCCTCTGGCTGCTCACGGACCTTTCGAAAATCAACTGGCGGCGTGGTGTAGCGTGTGCACTGTCTATATTGTGACCAAGGTTCGGATCCTGTTGGCGAATTTTTTTTGTTTGCTGATTTATATAGTCAATGTCTCCCGACTTGAAAGGCGAGGGAGGCGGGGCAAGGGGCGGGACGCGTAGCGTGTGCGTACGCGGTTCTTGGCACGAGTTCAATTCAAGCGCACCGACTATTCAAAAAGCTCTGTCACCGCTCTTTTTTCATATGTTCTACTATTTTTAATGCGAAAAATCAATGATTGATTTAAAAAGAAATGAAAAGAGCGATAAACGAGCTCTTCAAACAACGCTGGCGGTTGAATTGAACTCGTGCCCAGAACCGCGTACGCATACGCTACGCATCGCGCCACTTTGCTCGCCTCCCCGCCTTTCAAGTCGGGAAACATTGACTATAACTCGTGTTTGTGCATATATTTTGATCGTTTCTCGATTATGATGAAAGTTTATGGAAAAAAACAAAACAAAAATCTACTCGTTAAAAATCTCGAGATAGGAAGGAAGACTGATATTTCGAAAACTTGTACCAAAAATTTTTATTCGATTTATCAAATGGTAGACTTTTTGTTTTTGTAGACTTATAAATTTAGGAATAAAAATATGGTTAGATTGTTATGTGATTTTTGATAAATTATATCTTTATTGAGAAACGTTCAAAAATATTTCCATGAAAGCCATGAGGCGGCAAAAATGATATTCACCAAAAAGGATTCGTACCATGGTCACAATATTAACAGTGCGCAAGCCACTACCACTACACCACGTTGCAAGTTGCTAGTCGAAGGCTCCGAGCGCGGCTAAGATCCTCTGGAAATTTTCAACAAGCTTTTCCACGGCTACCTATACCTAGGGACCGCAAGCCATTTCTTCAGAACGATTCAAAAAATATGTTTTTCACATTGTTCGATGGAGGAGACTGTCCATTTTCATAATCCGTTCAGTTTTAGAAAAAAAGCTCCACTAAGAAAAAAAGTTATGGCCAAAAACGAGCGCGCGCGGCGTACAACTGGAGGCAAAAATCTCACGGTTTACCCGCTGCCGCGAAAAAAATAGTCGCTTCTAAATTCCAAAAACTCATTAACAGTTTCGTTAAACAGAAAAATTATTTGAGCAAGCTCGGAAGTTTTTCCTGAGCACCAGAATTCCCGAAAATTTTTCAACTTTTTCGGCTTTTTGGAGGACTGCGTCTTGAAATATAGTTCATTTGAAAAGGTTTTTTAAAAGTTGTTTTCACAGAAATATTTCAATATTTATGATAAGTATTATATATTCATTGCTGGATATTTTTAATTTTACCTAGACCTACCAACCCACAAAAATCTTAATTCTCAATTGCATTTTCAGAGGGGACTCTTCTTTATTCAGATAGGACAAACAAAGCATTGATATTCTATTTCAAATTTCATTTTAAAAGTATAAATAAGAGTAAATTTATAGTTGTTTATCTTTTTCATCTGAAACATCAAGGAAAAAGCATGAAATAGGCGAGGAAAAATGATTGAACACAAAAATCAATAATATATATGGCAAAGAGAGAAAGTAAAACATGATGGTCGACAGCTGTGGAAGGCGCGCTCTGCCGATGAGTCATGGGGCTAGAACAGTGTAAGAACTGTTATTCGGAGAAGAGAGGCGAGAGAATCGAAACAGGCTAGAGATGCCACGGAGTGGTCCACGGCCGACATTCGAAGGACCTCCTCCGAGAGCAAAACAAAGACTTTTTGTTTCGAAATAACTATGGTTAAAAGCTGTTGCATTTTTCGAAAAAGTTTTTGGTTGAGGATAAAATAAAAAAATCTTTACTGAACCCTTACCAAAAATGTACATTTTTATAATTTTTCCTCCGAAACCAAAAATTGATTTTGGGACAACAAAACT